ATGTGAAGCTGTAATTTACTGCTAAATTCCTTTTATCTGGTTATTTTGTATCATGAAAATATTAGACTTTGTTTTCAAAAGTGTAGTTTTCTCAAGTGTTGATAGCCTAGCTGTTGTGTTGTTCATTGCGAATTGATAAGTAATAGCAATATAGAAGCAGTATCCAATTTAAGTTTTATCTTGAGGATACAAATATAGAGAACCCCTAAACCTTAGTGTTGAAGAGGTAAATCTCAGGTCTGAAAGTCTTGATCTGCATTTGAATCCTGGTGATGCGGTGGTGCCGTGGTGAGCACTGCGGCCTTGCAGAGCTGGGACCAGGGTTCAGGGGTGTCATCTGCGTTTAGCTTGTATGTTCTTCAAGTTCCTCCCACTGTCCAAACATATACTGGCAGCTTTATTGGCCTCTGGGAAAATTGGCCCTGGTGTGGGTGACTGTGTTTGTGTCTGTCTGCCCTGCAATAGACTGTCCAGGGTGTGCTGTGTTTTGTGCCTGTTGCTTGTTGGAATAGGCGCCGACTCCCCTGCGACCCTGAATTGGAAAAAAACAGTTACAAAATGGGTGGATGCATTTGAATACAATGACGCATAATTGCCCCTTTTAATTTTTTGGGGCATTATGCATGCTGTTCACTACACATGTGCAGGTCCTCTTTTAGGGCTGCTGCTTTGCCTTAATCAACATCCAGTTAGTCCAGAGTGCTACCTGTGTGATAATGCAGTCTTCTAACAGTTTTGTTTCCAAGGATTCTGTTACTTGTGCCTTTTTATTCCTGAGGCATCGATCCTGGCTTCCATTAACCCCCTTCTAAAATCTCAACACTGAAACTGTAATACTTCGTTTTGGCAGAAGATGTTTGGTGTCACGCAGAAATGGTTATTATTTTCGGAGCTAGGTTTGGTGTAAGCTTGTGATCCAACAAGGATTCCAGGGCTGGCTGATTTGTTTAGCACTCTGTAAGTTAGCCCTTCATAATCCCTTGCCGGATCTGCTTATGCTTAAAACCATTTGTCTTTTCTGAACTTGGGATCCGTAGGAGCTGCAGAGCTGTTGACCTGCTGGGTAGAACTCAAGCATCCCTCCTGTCCACTTGTCCTTTCAGGTTCACGGACTTTCACTCCCCAGCCTCCACCTGCTCTCCCTCACGAGCCGCTCTGCTGACGGGGAGACACGGCCTGCGCAATGGGGTGACGCACAACTTCGCTGTGGGGTCAGTAGGGGGGCTCCCCCTCAATGAGACTGTGCTCGCTGAGGTCCTGCAGGCTGCTGGGTACTACACAGCCATGATTGGTGAGAAGCCAGCTGCTGTGTAATACAGTGCATAGAAAATGCAGTGGTGTTAAATATAAAATTGCAGGTTGTAGTTAACAGAAATAAACTAGTCTGACAACACTGTCTCCCTGTTTTTGTGACCTTTTCCCACCCTCCTTATATTTCACATTGATGTAGCTCTATAGCTGAGATTTAGTTTAAGGAGTATAATAATGTTTGTGATAGCACAATGCAGAACAGCACTCAAATACATTATATGAAATCTTTTTCATGAACGCAAAAGAATGGTATGGTGGTGCAGTGGTTAGTATTACTGCCTTGCAGCGCTGGGCCCTGTGTGTTTGTTTGTGCCCTGTGATAGACTGGCATCTTGACCAGGGTGTCATCTTGTGCCTGTTGCTTGTCAGGATGGGCTCCAGCTCCCCTGTGACCCTGTATTGGATAAAGACTTTAAAAATGGATGGATAGATTAATCCAAGATCCTGAAAAAACTGAAATACAAGGATCTTTAGAGTACAAATATTTTACAAGACAATTTGGTTTATTACACGGTGTATTTTATTTCAGTAGTAAAGTAGGGTAACATTCAACACAGATAATAGAATTGTAAGAAAGAATTCAGAAACAGAAGCACCAGTGAAATGTTGAGTGGGGAAAAACTATTGTATCACAACATGATATTAAAGTTGATGTTGGCTTGAAAACAGTTGTAAGTCAAGGCAATAACTCTTGGGTTTGCTTTAACGAGTGGTGTTTTAAAAACAGCTGGTTTAATACTAGAATTGGCTTGATGATTGAAAAGGCAGAGTTACATTGACATCCTTTTCGTTTTTTTTAAATCTAAGGGCTGCATTGAAATCACTGTGATGTCTGTTCTCTTACACAGCAGTATTAGCAATACACTGCTAATATGATATATCAAGTCGATGGGCTTCAGCACCTTGGATAGCTCACATACAAAAGATTCTGCTTTTGTGTTCATCGACAGTCCAGATGTGCCGTGAGAGATAAAATCCAGATTAAGTCCTGTGTCTTTAAAGAGCTGATCACCCCTATTTCAGTGCCATCAAGAAAAAAAAAACTGCAACACAAAGAAGAGCAATGCATCAGCCCATTTCCAGCGTATCACATTTCTTTGAATTTGACTTACTTTTTTTGTCATGTGATTTTTGCATGTTATTCCCGATTCACCCTTCTCTGTTTGAGGTCAGTGTGATCCCAGTGATTCTGGCCACAGCTGAGCAGTTAATTTGATTGGAGATCCCCCCCCCCATGCTGCAACATGGACGTAAGCAAGTACACGCATGTAGTATTAAAAGAAAACATCTTTTGTATATTTTTATCTCTGCAGGGAAATGGCATCTAGGACATCGTGGCCCATATCATCCAAGTCACCGGGGTGAGTGAGTTAAAAATTTGAGTGTGTAATTCCTCTCTCACAAGGCAGTGCTTTTCCGATTAACCTATTTTTTATTTAACATTGTTAAAGGAAATATTTTTTTCTTTATGCAATCAAAGTCCCTTTTTAAAAAATTGGCACTGGCTTTGGGCTTCAGAACATAATTTGGTTACCAAATGAATGCATGTTAAAATCCAGTCCTTCACTTGTTTTGTTCCCCAGTGTTTTTTTTTTAAGACACACTTTCTGATTGGTGATAGAATTACCACCCTCTTTCAAAATAAGTGTTTGGAATTGTTCCGGGAGAAGGATGATATTGACAGTGCCCAACGTTTTTGTTTTTATCTGACTGGTGTGAGGATTGTTTTTGTGAACCGAAGGTTTCTATTAAAGAACTGCTTATCTTTTTTTTTTATTTGTTTGTTTTTGTTGGAACTAGGACAAAGTCTTTTGGCGTTTGAATTCTGTCCTTCATCTCAGAATTCATTCCAACAAGGCAGCACACCAACAAAACATTTGTTTGAATTGTGATTTTCTTGATCTGTCTTTATACTTAATACTTCAATGCCAATACTGTATTTTTAAGTTTAATGTTTTAAAAACCTATGCATATTTAATATAGTAATGTCCACATTTTGTGTTTGAAGTCCCTCAAATTTGAACAATTCCTCTATAACAGAGAGTGAATTTAGAGGTTTGAAACTGCCAGTATAATGTACTGTTCTGTGAACAGCTTAGCCTTTAATTGCAAACTGTTTATGACACAAGCTCTCCTCATTTGTTACTTTTTCACGTTCTCTTACTCGTTCTGTTATGCAAGTGACAGTCACAGGAAGTCTTCCATGTTTCCTGCAGGTTTTGATTACTATTTCGGAATTCCCTACAGCAATGACATGGGCTGCACAGACACTCCAGGCTATGACATTCCGAGTTGCCCACCGTGTGCCAGGGATCCACTGTTAGATGGGTACGCTGCAATAGACAAGCCTGCTGATTTTGGAAATATTCCTGTGGTAGAATAGAGTTGTACTCTTAATGGCTTGAACATTAGTACTCCTCAGCTGAATAGTGTGGGCCTCTGTGAGCAGTCAGAGCAGCTTGAAGAGGCTGTGGCACACATTCCACCAGATTGTGAAATATTTGCAGCCCAGTTCTGCTCAGTTCATCTTGTAGGATTGCGTTCAGTTAAGGTTGTGATGAATGAAATGGTGTATGAGATTGCAAAGCACATTTTTTCAGTTCCAACAATTGTCAAAAGCACGGAGATTTGGGAATTGTATCCCGCCTAGTAAATAATGGTGGACATCTCTCCCATTGATTCCACTGTGCATTACCTGTCACGGAGAGAGAATGACAATTTATTATATTGTGAGCATGCATTCTTTAGAATTCTGTAATTGGTGGCCAATTAGATGTCTGTATCATATAACTAACACAGCAATGCCTCCATAGTGAGAGGAATTGAAGTGTTTTTGCCACATGGGTTTAAATCAGTTATTTTATGTCACAGCTGTTTGACTAAATGCCAGAAATTCAGGAGGCTCTCAAGTGTTCAGCTAACAGGAGTACTCTACAAGAACCTTAGTGAAAAGGGCTGGTTAGGAGGTTTCCTAAAAGGCTCTAATTAAAAAAGCACAATCATTTTCCTAACTACTGAATTATGAGACTGAATAAATGAAAATGTAGACATGTAAGTATATACCTTCCTTTGAAACACAATAGTAATTCTCTGATGTACCCTTTATCAGTGTCTTGTTTCTAATCCTATATTTAAGATCTTCCTCAAATAGACTCACAGTATTATGACCCATGATTTCATTATCAAATCTTAAGATACCCTGTTAGTTAGCATGCCTGTGTAATGATTGTATAACTCAGAATTACATGAATTTTTATAGTTTCTATAGTTCTTATAGCTAATAAAGTTTAAGGCAGTTCAAGCTGGTAGCTGTGTCAGTAGGTTGCAAAGGAACAGGTAAAGGTTTATTCCATGCTGAAAGGAAAATAAAAGAGACAACATTTTGTCTCACCTGAGGCAATCAGTCAAAAAATAAATAATACCTTTATGATTTTCTTCTAGTGATGAGCACAAAGAATGTTATTCCAGAATCGCACTTCCTCTGTTTGAGAATTTGAGGATTGTGGAACAACCGCTTAACCTGTGGACTCTGGCAGAACAGTACACACAGAAAGCCATTGATATAATCCACCATGCCAGGTAAGCTTGTATGGTAAGCAGCCATCAATTCTGGGAAATCATCTGTATTTTTTGTACTGGAGCCAAAGGCTTAACTTGTCAAAACTCTGGAAAAGATTTATATGCTGTCTTTCATCTTCAGTTCTGGTGTTCCTGTACACTTTATAGTAAACCTGCTCAGGTTAAAACAACATATATGTAACCCACAAGTGCTCATTTGTTTTGCTTTACTATATATAATTAACCTATCTTGTTTGGTTAACATCCTTGTTCAGATCACTTTTGAACTTCAGGGGAAATCACTGTAGAAAACAACAACCCAACTGCTTTCCTTTTAAGTTACATTTTTAATTCCAGTTTTAAAGGGGGAATAAATCATGTTTTCATTCATGGTAAATGGAACCATTTTATTACAATTATAGTACCTTAATGGAACCAACATTAATGTGCTATTATTGTAAGGGGCAGGTACATGAAGATTTTTATCAGCTGGAAAACATACACTATCCTGATATACTGTACATTTTTAATTTTTCAATAATATCTAATGCTCTCATATTCCATAAATATGAGGCATACATTAAGTAATATGTTCATTTCTGTTTTAGCAGAAATCAATGGCTTTCATAGTTTTTGAGTGGTGCTCCCAATATCACCAACAATACAACACAGCAATTTGGCTGTGTTCCTGTACAGCCTTGTACAGCATGTCCCTGTTCAGTGTTTGTAATTTAACTTTGATTAAGAAATGCAAAATGCACACACACCACAGTAAATTAAACTGCCACCAAACCAATATTTGTGTTTCCCGATGTCGGTAAGTCAGTATGCACTATAAAGATAGCATTGCCATGGTTTCACAGCATTAACTAATCTTTCCAAACCCCAGCCAGGAAAGCAGTAAAAAATAGGACCTGCTTCAGGTGGCACAGGTCATTTTGTGTAGCTTTTTCTTTTTACTGACCAGTTCAATGACTGGTTAAGTACTGAAGTTGGTTCTGTGAGAGAGGTTGCCGGCTCACAGAAAAGAATAGGCTCTAAATACAGTCTAAATAAGTCTGCCTCCAGCTGAAATAATTTCTTAAGATAAAGGAAACATGGGCTTGAGGCAGGAGCGCTCCTGCACTTGTTGAGACCTCAGCTGTTCACTGCCATAAACGGTGATGAGAAACAGAACCTGATTGTGGAATCTGCCACAGTCAGAGCTCTGGTAGAGGATAGAAATCCCCATCAGAAACAACATCATAGAAAAAAAAACTTTATAGAAAATCCCTTAAACATTTTATCATCTTTTCCCCTAGTTTAATGAGACTGTAAATGCAGACTGTACATTATTTTTCCGTCCTGAGTTATTAACCAAACACAAAACATTACACTGTAAAAACCCTGGTGTGTATTTTTATACATTATATCATGTTTTTCCATATAGTGTAATGCAGAAGCAGGCGGTTTCTGTGCTTAATGAAAAAGGAAACTTGGCCTTTAAATGTTCCTAAAATGCTGTATGTATAACTTAGTTCCCAAGGCTTCGCATGAACATTTTGTTTGAAGGATCTAGAACTAAAGCCTCATTTAAGTGCTGATGTTTGCAAGGAAACTTAAACCAGCAGCTGAATAAACCCAGGTGCCTTTGTTAATTCAGGGAGGCAGACGTCATTGACATGGATTTCATGCAGTCTTCTATATTCGTAGAGCACATTCCGATCCAAATTGAAAAGGGTGAAAAGCTTATATGTGTAATGAAGTGTTAAGCAAAACCAGCTACTAGTGCACCCTAACCTCTTTTTTTGTCATTCATTTAACACCTTTATTCAAAGAGGCTGTTGAATGACAACAGTGAGACTGCCACGGTGCCCTGTGTCAATTGAAGTCTCAGATCAGTACAATACAAGTGAGAAGGCCAGTGGGAAAATAAGATAGTGACAGAACTAAGCCATGATTCATTCCCAGCTGGACCTTGCTACCACTTCCTGGAAAAATTGGATGCAGCCTCAGTGTATTCTGTATATTTTCTACAGCTGAAATTTAGATACTTGATCGTACACAAGCTATGCTGTGATTCATGAGTGTGAAATCAAACCAGCAGTGCTCCAGAGATAACAGCCGTCCATTTGTTGAGAATGTGGAACATGTTACAGTGGTTGACTGGGAATCCCTTGGGATCTGTTTCCTGCAGGGCAAGTGGTCAGTCCTTCTTCCTGTATGTCGCTCTGGCCCACATGCATGTGCCTTTGTCTGCAGCCTCTCGAGAGCCAAGCATAACCCATATAGATCCCTATGCAGCCAGTCTGGAAGAGATGGACAGCTTTGTCGGCAGGATAAAAACAGCCTCTGATGCCAGCGATAAAGAAAACACGCTCATCTGGTTTACTGGTACAGTGTGTGTACATTAACAGCCCACATCTTCTTTTGCTTTTGAGTCACTTAAGGTTTATTGGATTAGAAGACCAGTCCTGGCCATTCTTATTTATTTTAATCTTAGTAAACCCTTTGAGCTTTTTACTGCTAAAAGAGAAATGGATATTTTCGTTTTGGGTTAAGAACATGTGTTCGCTTCAATTAAGGTTCCATTATAGGAACCAACAAGACTTGCTGGAATGAAAACTCAGCAGTCACTGGGGTTATGAAAAGTTAAATTAATGTATTTATCCTTTGAATTACAATTTTTTTTTTGCAGGTGTGAAAATAAACATATAAATCTTACAAATCTGCCATGTCCTAAGACAATGGGTGTCACTACAAAATTCTAAATACTGTCATATTTTGATAGATCCCACTTTTATGGGCTACAGAATGAACAGTGGAATTTCTCAATTTTTTTAATATTTATTCACTAATGTTGAGCTTCTTTTATCTAATGCAGAATATCAACTTAATTTAGATGTTTTCATTTCCACCTCCGTGCAGTACTATCATTACCCTTTGTTCGTGACAGTGCTTATTGAATGATCTCCAGTGGGAACATGTTATAGAAGATGTGGGGCACATTTTGAGACTGTTTTCCATTGCGACAGCTTTTTTAGTAAACCACTAATTCATTTTAATCTGGTGATATTTGGTAGTGATTAAAAAATTAATTACTTGAACATTCATTCTTCAGTCATTCTTTTTGGGTTTATTTTAAACAGAAGCATTAGGACCACTGCCTTGGAAATAGTAAAGTGAGTTGCCAAGGTAACAAATGCTGGATTAAGGGACTTTTGCATTACTTAGTTGTACCCCCTGAAATAGATTTTCTACTAATTCTGCTTTAATGCCTAAATAGTAATGGTTCAGTGAAATATGGTTACTTTTTTATATGAACTCATGCTTTGTTCATTTGGTAATTTTTATTTATGTCCGTAATTACAAAGTATACAAATGAACAAAGTAGTTGACAATAACTATTTAAGGATTTTAAGCGCTTAATTTTAGTAACTAAAACTCATTTTATAATCCTGATACATCACAAACAACATCATAATATTCCTCATCTGATTCTGCCGTGTCTTTGTCTTTCCCAGGTGACAATGGGCCCTGGGAAAAGAAATGCCAGTTTTCAGGAAGTGTGGGCCCTTTCTTGGGAAGGTGGCAGACAGATAGAGGTAAATACTGGAATCCTGCTTTATGAAGTGAAAGCTGAAAATCTGGGAGCCATTACCTGTTTGCACCCTTATCATTATTCTGTATTCATAGTTAGAGAGAGTACTATATTACAATTTATATACTCATACAGTGATAAGTGAAAATTGTTTTGTAAAATTAAGCCTTTATTTCCTTGTCACCAATCAACATTGTTTTTTTGTGTTGCATATGTATTTAAAAATGTTTGTGTTACATATATATTGGAGTATAAAAGCTGCATTAGTAGTCTGTTTCATTTTGATTGTGGGCAGAGTTCTTGTTAAAATAAAAATTGAAGAAGATTATGATAATCTCTTCTTTATCTGTATAAGTAAAGTACAGAGGTTGGGAATTATGTCAGAGTACTTTGCTGAAGTGCCTTCAAAGTAATAATCCAAAACACAGGGCTAGCGCAAACTCCGCAGACCTATTAAATTAACGTTCTTGTGTGTGTATTTTACATCTAACCAGAATGAACAGTTTGCTTGACTTATTTGTGCCTCTTGTTTTTCCTTTGGGTTCGGTAAGGAACTTCTCAATCGATATACCCTAGCTTCTAGCTTCTATACAAATTACAGTGGAACAAGTAGAGGTTTATACCGTGAAAATACGTTTTCTTTTCAGAAAAGTTGTTGTATTTCCAGAAACCTTATTTACTGATCTCTTCTTGCAGAAAATGCCCAGCTACTTACTGTACATTAGTGAGACAGGAAGGAGACTGGGAGACCGCTTCAGGGAACCTGTCAGGGCTGTGAGGATCAAAGATCTCTCCAATCCCATAGTCTCCCATTTCACCTCGGATGGCCATGATCATACTGATCTCTCCGTCTGCATTTTCACAGAGGGGTTTTACAACTCCTATCGCAGAAAGACATACAAAACCAAAATTATCCTGAAACTAGGATCACACCTTCCCCCTTCTCTCATCAACAGGCTCGTTTCCTTCTAATCCTGTCTATTCATTTGCAGGTTTTGACTTCACACCTTTCTTCACTGCTCTTGACTTCACACCACCTGAATGTCGATACTCAATTTAATTCAAGATGCTTTATAGGCATGACCAATTAGTAAAATCAGTATTGCCAAAGCAAAACAAATACAGTGAATTCCAAGTTCTAAGAAGAAATGAAAAGACAGAAGTTAAATGATTTAATAAAGTTTTCTTTGACTTTGACTGTTGACCCACAAATTCGATAAAAAAACTAAATCTTTCAATGAATGAGTCAATGAAACAGCAGTTATGATGGACTGGTGGGATAGGCTCTGGTACCTCCCAGACCCTGAATTGGATAAAGCAGTTAGAAAATAGATGAATGAAATTACAATTTGAAGTTTAGAGCTTTCTGGGGGATACGGTGTAGCCAATGAGTTTAGTTAAATATCGAAGATGGTGCTTTGATTTGGCTGAATTTTCAGGGAATGGCAGTTACACAAACATTTTCTTTCTTTCTGATTGAGACAATCTGTACCAGACTTGCCTTCGAATACTCAGTCATCATATGTCAAAAATTTGAAATAAATTATTGTGTCACAGAGACATGGACTTCCAACCAAATTCTTATTTTTCATTTTTTGTTTTTTTTTTGTTTACCAGGTGGGAGTTCAGCTAAGCGAACTACATGGGAAGGAGGGCACCGTGTGCCCACAATCGCATACTGGCCAGGCAAGATACCAGCCAACGTCACCAGCAGTGCCCTGCTCAGGTAGTGAGCTCAGAGTCTGGATAAGGGGGTCTGAAACTGTAACACTTAGCATTCAAATCTTGCAGATAAGACATGACAAGCATGATTTTCTTGTTCTTTGCTCGGTACACAGCACGTCAAATGGAGAAGTGACAAATTGCTTCACCGATGATATTAAGATATAAATTTAGGGAGGCCAGATGCTATTTAGCCAGGACACCAAGGTTAGCACTCCCAGTCTTTTGAAAAATGCTGTAGTATCTTTAATGACCCACATAGTCAGGACTTCGGTTTAATGTCTCATCTGCCATACAGCACCTTCTGCCACATCTGCAAAATGGTGTCCCAAGTTACCGTACTGTAGAATTGGTTTTATAAAAAAGAGCGCCACCTACTGCTACACTGTGAGCAGCTGGTGGGTTTTACTTAGTGGTCCCACAGAGCTGACAAGGTCAGCCTTCCTTTGCTTCATAGATCTGTTCATATATCCGATTAGAATGTGGTAAAGCAGTTGCTTAATATGAAGATATGTATCTACCTATTTCTGTACTGTAGATTGCCTACAATTATTGTTTGATGGTAGCTTATTTTTTAAAAACATTTTTGTAAAACATTATACTTTAAGAAGGAGGATTTTTCTTTTAATAAATCAAAGACTGGACATTTATCAAAAGCATTAGAATTCGGAAACAAGGTCTCCTTGGAAGATGGGAATCTTGGTATGTCCAGAATCATGGTTAAACCTGTAGAAATACAACTTCAGTAGTACTATTTGCATACATCCCGGAGGAGTTTAAATGTAGTGACATAATTAAATAACTTTATGTGGCCTGTGATGTGAGTTTGTTTTTTTTTGTCTGTGTGCATGTCATCACCATTTTTTAAGACAGGACACTTCTCTCACATAGCGGTCTGGATATCTTCCCCACTGTGTTGTCTTTGGCTGGGGAAAGCCTACCCTCGCAGAGACAGTATGATGGGATTGATGTGACTAAAGTCTTACTCCACCAGTCAGATACCGGACACAAGGTAAAGCTCATGGACAAACAACACCCCAACAAGCTCATTTGCTTTAAGACTGTTCCGGGTTGTAACTGTACTGAAGTGCAGATCATAACACTGTGTTTCACCTATTTTGTTTAAGTTATTTCCCAATACTCATGTGATCAGGGTGCATTTATTTAGGGTAGGAAAAGCCACAGCTAAAGGTCCTGTGATAACAATATACTGTACAAGTGGTGGTGATATTTGATCTGTAGACATTTCTGTGTGGTTTTACAAAAATAGGGAGTAGCAGCTCCTCTATTTATTAGTTAGAGAAACACCCAAACTACAGTTAGGAAAAGGCTATTCAGAAGATTATGTGGTTTTCATATAAAATTACCTGAGGGAAAGGTTATTGATTTTACTGCCTCATTAAGCCTTCCCTTAAACAATACGGATAAAACAGCCTTATTTTTCTCAAATGCCTCATTTAGAAGAACCTTCTCAATTTTCTCTTGTGTCCTCAGGTCAAAGCCTCCTTTTTGAGCTCAAAGCACAATAATTATTTTTGACTGACAAAGTTGGTCTTAACAGTTTTATTCAACTCAAAAAGGACACTGGGCGAAACTGAGAAGGACAATGCTGCAAAATTGAAGAAAGAAGCACTTCAAACAATTGTGGAGCAAATGCTTTTCTTTTCATACATTTATGTAGGGAACTCTAGGGCAATGCTAGGACCGTGCCCAGAGATACAAATGATGTATGTTCTTTGGAATTTGTTTCCCTTTTTTGGAAAAAATGAACAAAAAAACAAGGTTAAGTTTAATTGAATCGATGAACAGAGATTTTGGACAAATAGGGACATACGTGATGTCTATCTTAGCTGTAGTGTTGAACCTGCTACATGAAATAAAGAAATGCAGCCATTTAGTCTGTGGGTCAGGATACAGGTAGGTAAGAGTGAATGAAAACAGCACCTAGATGGGAAACAAGAAGCAGTTTAGTGACCTCAAATCACATTAAATCTGAATCCTCAAAGAGTAAATTAGAAGGGTTCTGCACTAGGGATCATGTAGTACAGAGCCCTGGAGCAAAATTTGAAAATATGCTTTGTTTACTTTTGATAAGTTCTTCACTGAAGTAAAAATCTCCTTAAATTATCTGGCATCTCAGACACTTGCATTTATTAGATTTTTAAATCGCTTCTTACTAATTAATTGTAATATAGTTTCAGTAAATTTCCAAACTGTAAATTTCCAACCCACTTTAATAAATTACTTAGACCCCCTGCATTTCTAAAAAGGTTTGAGCTTCATTGGTAGTTTTTTTCTTAATTCAAGTTACATTGTTGTGCTAGATAAAACTCTGTTGTACCAGATTTTCAGGTAGAACATGTTTAAAAACATTGAGTATTGCATGTGACCTGAATGGAATTATTTCTGTTTCATAACCTGTACCTTTGTGACCATTTTTGTGCAAGTTTTTTATGCACACCAAAGTCTGAGGTGGACATCATGTGGAATGTACTGTAGATTGAGTTGAAGGTCTTTTTTTGGAATCAGTCCTCTAGCCTATCTGTTGTTTTTCCTCGACATCATGCACATGTGTTTGAGCTCCATTTAATCTGTGCTTTTTTCTCTCCCCTGTGTGCCCCCACAGAGTCTTTTCCACCCCAACAGTGGTGCAGCAGGGCACTTCGGAGATCTCCAGACAGTCAGGCTGGGGCAGTACAAGGCATTTTATATTACAGGTACAGTATGGGCTTTATTAAGGCTGTCCATTTTAACTCACCTGGAGAAGTGTGAAGCAGATGTTGATTTAGGGAGCCCTCTTAGCCTCAGGAAGTGAAATCTGGAAGCCATGAATACGGTCATTGGAAGAGAAGAGGGTAAAGGCAATCCGGTGAGCGTGACCAGGTGACTTCTCTCTTTCAGGGGCAGCAGAGGCCTGTGGTGGGGGGACAGGACAGGAGATGGTTCATGACCCCCCTCTTATCTTTGACCTGTCCCGGGATGAAGGGGAAGGTGTGCCCTTGGACAGCAGCAGTGCAGAGTACAGCATGGTCCTGGAGAGGGTGGAGAAGGAACGGCAGGCAGTGCTGACAGACATTGCCATGGACAATGTGTCCAGGGCCGACTATGCCATCGACCCCTCTGCCGCACCCTGCTGTGACCGGAGTCATGTCGCCTGCCGGTGTCGGGGACTGGAATGAGGGCTTGGCATGGTACTGGGCACTGGTCAAGTGCTTTGTTTAGGAAGTTTCCTTTTTATGCGATTCAGCAGTAAACTGGGATTTTTAGTGGTGAATGGACACTGTATTGGCAATTTAAGTGCCTGCTTGATGATAAATAAATCAGCTCTCTGCACTTCTTATGCCCAGTGCAGTCCGGGTACAGTCCTCTTAGCAGAGCCAGTTTTCTCTGGTGCCGTAGCTCTGCAAACTCCCATGAGAAAGTTGTTCTTCTGAAAAGGAAACAGTCTTCAAATGTTAATCTTCCTTGCTCTCTGTGGCTTGCATTAGCAGTGCTGACGATAGCAGGCTGAGAGAGGCGTGTTAGGAGTAGGTTATGAAACAGGAGATTTAATGTGACCTTTTCAAACCTACAAACCCTGCCATGCTGTGATAGACCCAGTGTTCTCAAGTAATCTGTTAACTCAGTATTGACAAAACGCAAATATTTAAAAGACTTCAGTCACTTCTTCCTTCAGTCCTTTGCAACATGTTTTTAATTTGACAAACTATTTTTCTACTTACTCAAAATTGTGACTCCTCCCTATATAAAATAAAGCATGAGCTGAAAACAGGTCATAACATTGTTGTACTTTCTTAATTAACAGCAACTGAAAGAAATAATACATTAAACTTGATACCTTTGCTTCCTCTTTATATAAACTGGTAGGAAAAGGAGTAGACGGTGTTTAGCATGCATATGAGACAGATGATATTTGGGTCTTTTGTGTGTGACAGTACAGTGTCAAAACTCTGATTATGGCACAAAACTGTTCCCAGGTTCTCAAATTCTTTTGTGATAGAACAAATGTAAAAAGGAAAAGAATCTTTGATAAAAAGCTAAATTGAACATTTTTCTACGCATGAGTAGAAAAGAAGGTGGGTTTTAGGTTTTTTTTACTCTTCACTCTGTGGACTTTAAAATGTTTGCTCCTTCAGTTTTTAAAATAAAAGCACCTTATAAAAAAAGTGAAACCTCTGGCTAGATTTACTGCCTCACATTCTGCACTAGGAGACAAAGAGCCTATATGTTAAGAACAGAACTATCTATATACAGAATACATATCTCATAGAATAGAGTCTTGACATACAGACACAGCTGGTCAGTGTCACATTTCAACCAGAGGCATTCTGTGAAGCTCTTAATAATATATAGCTTGTAATATTTCGGCTATATAGTACAAAAATATTCAGTTGTGTCTCCGAGTTGGAACCAAGTATAACCTTTGGACCACTGTTTGGGAGGTACAGGTCTGGTTATTCCAGTTTTATGATTAAAGTTTATTTACCAGTGCAACGAACCTCCCATCAAAACAGCTTGTTTGCATGGAACAAACAAGATGCAGGAATGTGCCAATCTGAGGATGGCATGTGAAGGATTGTGAGTTATGCTTCTGGAGTTATGAGAGTGCCATGTAGAAGGTGAATCATAGGAAATATGAGATATGAGTACTAGAGGGTTTGGGAAAATGTGTGTGAGCGAGGTACGACTGCACATTTTCACATGGGATTTGAGCAACACAATTGCAAATGCAGACAGTGCACTAATTTGTTTGGGGTCTTTGTGAACAAGGCATGGAGACAGAAAGAGAGACAATTATCTGAGGAGAATCTTATGGAGAAAATACCCATAACTAGATCATCGGTTTTGAGAAGCGGGTAGGCACCTGTGTCTGTAGCATACAGAAAAGGAGTACAAGCATCTCTCGGTTATGAGAACAGAAGTTTGTTTAGCCAACATTCAGGATTTAGCAATCCCTAAGGACCCAATTGGATCTGACTGAAATGAAGTCAGGCAAGGCCATCTGTAGCTCTAAGTGCTTTAAAGCTCCTGTCTTTCTTTTCTGTGGTTGAAAAGAAAGCAACTATCTGATATTTCCCCCCTGATAGAGGAAAAAGGTAGCAAACTCTCCACTTATTATCGAGCAGTAGCCCTGGCCAAACAAGACCTGTTTAATAACAGCTTACACAGTTACTGTTATGCCAATTAAGATCACAGAGACAATGTAAGGTGATTCTCTCAAACCCTGGAATGGGAATGGTTAGTAACGTCTGCTGCCTATAAATCTTGAATGGGATTTGTGCTTTCCCCAAGAGGGAGTTTAAAATGGAGAAGTACTGTACAAAGGATCAGTCTCGACTAAAGTACTACAAGTTGGCAATGTTATCTTGTCTCTGATACAGACTGTGTTAGGAGATCTCCAGGAAAACGGACTCAAGTAGCTGGGTGACTCCGAAAAGGTGGAGGAGCAAAGGTTAGCTCTTCCCAAGACTATTGGGAGCTAAGGTCAGCAAAGCAATAGTGAATATTAGATGCTATTAAATCCCTTGAAAATGGGATACTTCTGGGAGAAATTCAGCGAAATCACTATACCAGAGCAGAGCATGAGACAGCTATTTCTCTTAACCCCGGAAGGGGACAAGGTGAGATGAGTTACGGTTACAAACTGCATGGTGTGTAGGACAGGGAAAGTATCTTAGTGAGACTATATGCCGGAGGCGACTGTCAGTACCCCCAAAACTCTGAGTCTATGAGCGAAGGGTTAAGGGATTCCGCAGTGGGTAAGCCCTTGTGAAGCGTTAGTTGGTTAAAAAGGAATTTTCCTTAAATCAGTGACCAAATAAGCTAAAGCCCTGATCTCAGGTGGTACAGTAGCTGAGAAGTTTCCCGGAAGGAGTTTCAGGCTTAAATTTGAGTAACAGTAGGACATGTCTCAGGGAGAGGGCTTCCTACTGATAAAGCCATGGTATGCCAAGTTGCAGCAGTATATGAATGCCTGAGCACGGAGTCCAAGAGGAAAAGGTTAGAGGATCCCATAGAGTTTGAGCTCTAAGGTGTAGTTAGATTAGTTACAAGGGAGCATTAATATCAGATAATCAAATAATCTCAGAAGAGATTATTTAACATAGAATAAGGAAATAAATAGGTAGTGTATCCAGTTCCATGCACAGTATGGTAGAGTATGTGATCCTAGAGTAAGCAAGATTTGGGAAGGAGTTCAAGTCTTAGCTGACATTTTCCCAAGAGTCATGCTCTGACCAGACCAACGAAGAAATACTCCATTTTAAGTCAGCCAAAAGTGCAGCAAAATGAAGTCTGGTAACAGAAATACCATAAATCTGTCACACGATATGAAAAAAAGGTGTCGACGTGGTGACGTATTAGATCTGTTAGATCATCAGGACTTGGACTTTGTTTCCAGATTCCCGTTGTGGACATAAGCCTTGTTAATTATTAAAAATAAGTCTTCAGTGTATTAACTTCTTGGGCTGTTGTGGAGCAGTATAAATATGAAAGTGAAGGCAATTTATTCAAACTAAGAAGTCTTGAAAGAAGCAGTTTACGTATAAATATAACACAGGTTGAAAATGTTTAAATCCTCTTTCTGCAAGACAAGCAGCTACCTGGATCTTTTACAGGTCGCTTATTGTAGGAAACATTTCTGCAAAAGGTTCCATAGAAAAAAAATAAAATGTCCTCTGTATTGTATTTCTGTCTTATAAAAGTGCTTTTAAAAGCACAAGTGTATCTACACATCACTGTTTTCAAGGGAAGAACCCAATGAAAAATAAAACAGGACTACAAATGACAGCTTGTACCTGTAACAAACCTTTTTAATTTACAAGTTTTGTTAATTATTCTAGTAAATATTGAGTAGAAAATATCGTCTTGTACAATATTTGCACAAATGCATAAGCCATGTTGATGAGACGTTCTGCTTTGGCATTTGAAATAATAGTAGAAAACTGTAAGAAAGATTATATTGTTATATTACTTGAGTGTTTTGAACCTCTTGAGTCTATCCACATACAAATTTGAATTAACTGTTGTTTACTCCCAGATTGTAGTTTAGTTTCAAGGTTGCATAGTTCAGGGGTTTGGGAAGTCCTTGACATAATTTGATAGGCCCTGGGTGTTTTGTGTTGATAGGGAAGATAGCTCCTTTTTTCACAGCACTTAGTGAAATTCATGTGAAAAAAAATAAGCAATGTGTCATAACTTTAGGAAGAACCAATGATTAAGTAAACTGGACTTTGCTTGTTTCTAAGTGATCGCTCATTAACAAAACACATTCAGAGAAAACCTGAACATTAACCTGACCTGACATTGTGTTAAAAAAAGATCTGGAATACAGGGTTCTGTGAAAGAAACAGACAATGCAGAGGTGTTCTGGGATGGTGAAACTATGGAGGGGACCTAGGCTGATCAAATTAAGGCTACGATTTTGCAAACTTTTGTCATAGGATTCTTTAAAAAAGCGTTTGATATACAAAAGCAAAACAAACCACACATTAACAATTATTGTTTTAGTTAAAGTGTGCAATGTGTAATGTAGTCAGTGGTGGCTTTGTGATAGATTTGTGATTCATTAATAATGAATTGTGCTGCTTTATAGGCATGTGAGGCTCAGTGAGTTAAGGGTACCTGAAAAATTACAGCCTTGCACTGTACTGAAGTGCATCACAGGTGCTGTCAGTGTAGTAGTGTGCTTTTCTCTTGCAGGCAAGAGTGGAGCCTAGATGAGAGAGGTTGAATCTTGGATACTGCCTGCACCTTGACAGAAGAGGGGCATTCACAGTGTGTTTGAATGCACTCTTGGTGCAAGAATTAACTAGAAGAGTAAGTGCTTGGGAAAACTACTGGTCATTAAGGTTAATGCTCCATTCTCTCCGAGTTAGTAACTTTTATGGACAAATACTGTAGGTGACATGGAACGAATTGATTTCTCCAGTATAAGAAACAGGTAGAACTGAGTGACTACAAAAGAACTCATGTTGGTTGTTTTAGTGGAACAGTGTTAAAAAGGCAACTGGAAAGGAAGATAATTATGTAGCCTTCGCTGAACAAACAAAAGTGACTTGCCGGCAGTATTGGACTCATGGGGCTGAATGCCAGCATTGTCCCACAGCAAACGACATGGCAAGACTATGGAAAGTCTTGGCAAAGCCTCATTTTTTAGAACTTTACAAAATATTGAGCTCCGAATGTGAAAAATGGGCCTGGAAAGCCTTCATTTTCAATGAGCTAGTCAAAAACGTAACCGCATGAACATAGCAATCAAGTTGATCTCAGCGGCCTCATGTTTCTCAAAAACTTGCCAGCAATGATGCAATTTTACATGAGCTCACCACACCCTATAGTTCAGAATGGTACCTCACTGTAGGACACCCATGAAATGCCAGGTTTACAAGAAAATGATGGGTAATGGATGGCACTACTAGTCTTTGATAGACTTGATAAAAGAGATATTGAAATAACAAAATTCCTTTGATTACATACCAGATATTAAATGAAAAAGGGGAGAAACAGAATTCCCAAATATTGTTTAAGATCCACGTCTCTTATGTCCAACATGATTCTTGCCTGTTGTGGTCCATTTTTGCCTTGAATGTGTTCAGTGAGACTCTCCTATCTACTATGAAAGAATTGAACGTTACCCCTTTTGTTTGTATTAAGCATATTATTTTTATCTGTAGCTATGCATCAGCTAACAATTCATGCCCTACCACGTTCAGGAGAAAATAATCTGCAGCATACATTTATATGGGAACTGTGCATAGCATGCAAATTGTCTTGTTACATTTATTTGTGTACTAGACTAAAATGTGGACCAAAGAACACTTGTAGAGTCAATGTAAACCAGCTGTTAATTAAATCTGAATTTAACTGGTAACTTTAAAAAAAGACATGGAGGCAAAAATGGCTGTTTAACATTAAAATATATGAGAAGGACACTCAAGACCACTGTCCCCTAGTTAAGTATTGAGTGCTTAATAGAATGTCAGATTTTGACCTAAGGAAAAAAAATAACTTTTGTCTGTATTTGCATTTGCAAATCATAACATGATGTAAGCTTCCATGGTCACACACAAGGAGAAGTCTAGTATGAATGAAGACCACTTTTTACATCATCCCCTAGTATTAAATCCATCTGAATAATCTAAAAATGAAAGAACTGAAAAATGTTCGCAACACTGGTCAATACGAACTAAAGCTTTAAGTGTTCTGTATATCTTGTGAATGTGTTTTCTTTTCCTTTTTAGGTTAGCCCAGTATCCCTTTTGACCCCTGCTTCTCCACACCCAGTACTATGGGACAGTTTTTAGGTGGAAATAATGTGTGGTTTATAGTTTATAGGACGAGAACTGAGATGGGTGTTTGTTTCTAAATAACAACCCCTGTGTCAGGAAGACTCAGTGTAAACAACTGATGTCAACAAGTTAATCAAAAGCTACACATTCATGAGGGAACTGTTATCTTTGCTGGTCCTGCTCTGGCTGAGCCTGTTCACGCTAAGACATCAGGGCTGAACAGGAAACCCAAGCCCATTTCAAGAGCCATGTTATCTGATGAGAACACCCTGTTCACACGAACACGCCTCTGAAAAGCATATGCCTACAATTACACATGTTGTGAAATACATAGCTCCTAGGAAGAGAAACTCTTTTGCTTTTGGTGCTAGGCACGTTTTTCAGTTTCTTTATGTTCTTTTCCTGTATACCGTAGGTCACGATGGATTCATATTCAAATATCAGGAATTTTGTCCAAGTAATTGTCCATGTTATTTGTGAAAATCAAATCACATGAAACGGTCAAATGGACTTATTGATTGTAGGAGCTAATACTTTGTTTTATAATGCACCCAGTATAGATGTACATCATTCTGTATTGTAGCACAAACACCTTGGTAAAGCTGACCCCATCTGTCTGGGACCAGTATTGACAGACACAAACCAGGACCGAATTTACAGAAGCCAATTAACCAACCCATTTGTCTTTGAACTGTAGGATGAAACCCCCACAAACAGGAGAAAATACAAACTCCACGCAGATTGCGCCCCAGGAACTTATCACAGTTCATTCAGGTCTCGGTATTGATTTGCATTTTTCATCTTCAAAGTAGTTCAAATAGGGTACAAGACAAAACTCAATCACGGCGAACAAAGGATTTGCATCATTTTATTTCTATTTTGAGCTCCACGTTTTTTGGTTTTGTGCAACGTCCTTGCAAAACACTTTTGCACAGTTACAAATAACATTGTAGACATGTACAAAACAATCCACCAGCGTGGTGTACAATGGGACATATGGAAATGTTACCAAAACAGGCTAAAAAACACATACAGAGCAAAAACAGAAGTTTAATTCCTTATTCTTTTGATTAAATACTATTACAATATCAATACTATCTAATTATAAACATATTGGTCAAGTAACTCTTAACACATGGTTATAATTCAGTTCAGTCATGCACCTAATTCATATAACACACCCGTCTGGAGTTGAGCTAAAAGACCCAGGTCTGGTCTTAAAAGATACTATTTTTCTCTATTTTCTTTTTTTTTTTTTTTAAATGTAGCACCCTGCAAATTTGCTTTTTTTTCCCCCTGGCTCATGCATAGCCAATCTTCTGGCTTCAGGTTTAGCCTTCTGTCCGGTGTCAAATGTCCTCTAATCTCACGTCCATCTCGCTTTGCCAGCCCGAGTCCCGTCACGGCACGAATTTATCTACCAAAACCAAAACAGAGCTTTATTGTTCCTGCAGCCCCAACACGAGGGTGTGTTATAAACAGATTAGTGCACAGTAGTGAAATCCTACCCACTCTGATTTTGCCTGTTAGCACAGTGGGTGTGCTCATTTGCTCAAGGAGAATTAGTGCCTTTTTCTCCTTGATAGAGACTTCACTGAGCTGTTGCCTGAGAGACTAAAATTTATTTTTTCACATAGAGTCTTAATCCCTGGATATTGCAATCCAGGACAGGCTTCTTAATAAGACCCTAAATAATAAATAAAACACTAATAACCACTCTCATAAATTAACATAATGGCTGATAGTAAGGGGTTAAAAAGACAAAAATGAAGATACAAAAATCCTAGTGTATGTCTCATTGAAGTTAATTCTCTGTAAGGAAGGGTGATATAGATTCACATTGTAAAGTCTGGTTTAGATTTTGGGAAATCCTTTACGCAGATATTTCCAGCCACAAATGCTGACGGGCCCTCTATGTTCACAGACGGGAGAGACAATATGAGTCAGGAGTAAAACATCACTATTCCAGCAGCTGGATAGTTTTTAACAGAGATTACACAAGTTTTGCATTTTCAAAAATGTCTTTCTCTTGGAATACGGATGAATTTAAACCACCAGTTTTAGGGTTATACAGACATGTTATAAACACTGAGAGGCCTTGGGCTAGCACACAGTTTGAGTCTGGTCGAAAGTAGGACAGCAGCAGATTTCCATCCCCCCTTTGTTGTAAACATGAGGAGTGTAACCTTGACTTCTTCCGGCTCAGATGTAAAGCCAAGCAACAGTGTGTTGCCTAGAAGCTTTGGTTTCAGTACACATTGTCTGAGCACAGTCTGTTATGGAATGACAAGAGATATTATCCCTGTCCCATGCATGAGTGCTGTTCTTTCACTGAAAAGACATTTGCATCAAATATGTGGCCCACAAGAGTTTTCTTTTCCCTTTAATACCATCTTATTGATGGTAACGTACCTGCCTCTTCTGCAGGTAAATGAAAAATATATTATTTTTATTATAAGTATGATACATATGTTACAAGCATTCAAGAAATGACTTTCATTTAATGCAAAGAACATTTTTAATGTTGCTTTAATCTGAATGTCCTACTTTTTGTTCCCAGCATGTGTATACTTTTTATTTTCAAAAATAATAAAAATGGTGATAATAATTGTAAAGTTTTTTATAATAAGGGTGATGGAAAACTTCATTATCAGATTGATTAACTGAACATGAGCGTTAATGAAGTTCACTAACCAATAACTTCCTCTGATGAAATCTGATGCAGGTGTCTCATAAAATAAGAATTAGTGAACCCTTTTCTTCTTATTTCAGTGTCTATGCTAAACCACATCTCTTTTTACATCTGTGCAGTGTGTCACATTTATGACTGAATTTGTGGTAGGGGCCACTAGTCTTTCTATTGACTCAAAACCCCTAAAGGCCAAGTTATTAGCCTTGTGAGTGTTCAATGAGGATAGCAGGACTTTCCTATGGAAAAAATTAAAACATCTGTCTTTGCTCTAATAACAGATATGGCTTAGTAGTTCTAAAAAAACCCCACAAGTTTAAAGAAGCATTATTTATGTCCCTCATCTCTCAGGCCCAGTCTTTAAATTCTTAAATATTTGTACCAAAATCCATGTAAAATGGCTGGGATATTTTTAATAGGGTGCTTTTTTATTACAACCACCACTTTTGAAGTACATAAACCCTTTTTTAATGCTTGTTTTAATCATCTAGTTGCAGTTTATAGTTCTCTCATGAGGTTTCTGTGAAAATAGGGGAAGAGATTAATTAAAAGCAGTCTCTAAGATTAATATATATAGGAATCCATTCTTCATCTTGTGAGTAAATTGAGTGTATACCGCAGCGCCTTCTAGTGGCTTTGCCAAGAAAATAAGACAATAGGCTGAGTATTACAGAACTTCATCCAAGAGGTGCAATAAGAATAATGACAAACTTAACTTGAAAAGTGGTCGGATGTTTCTCATGGTCACAGACAAACAAACCAAAGGATGAAAACAAAAAAACAAATTAATGTTCACATTTAGTTCATGAAATGTTTTCCTGAACACATTGGTTTTACTGACCTTTGAATTTCACCAGAGAAAATGTGGAATTTCCCTTTCTGTATTATTTGGTTGGTATGGAAGATAAGTTCCACAGAGACAGACAAGATGAGCATGGCGTTTTTTCCTTTCCTCATGAATGTTTACTGTTACTTAAATCAACTAAGTACTGTACATTTTTTTAAAATATTTTTTTATAAGTGCCCACAGTAACATGTCAGTATACCAAAGGACTTTACAAATGGGATATCTTTTACAACTAAGTAAAACTTCCAAATCAATATTGAACTCAATATTTAAAAAACCTTAAGTTTCATATATACTGGGTGATTGTGATATGATCATGCAATACCTCTTTGCAATCTATGAGATCCTAATTTAAACACTGCACTGTAAAAATTTTAATTGAACCAATTGTTTTAAACTCTTTTTTTAAAAAAGGATGAAAATATGGTGTCTTGACATGTGAAGCAGATGTAGTGAATATTTCGGACTTGGTACCATCACACAAGCACGAGATGCACATAAATAAAAAAAATCCTCCCTTAGACGAGGAGAACTGTTTAAATTCCAGTATTTTGTCACTGATTCAGGAAGTATAAATGACATGTTTAACAACTAATGAGCCAAAAGGACCGTTGTTCTCCAGTCCAGATTCCAGTCAGCTGCTTCCTGCAAGCTTATGAAACCTTTCAGTGAAAGGGGTTCACCTGAGAGATGGTGCTCAGGATAAGGAGTTATGTACTGGCCTGTCTCGGTTCCTGACAGGTCATAATGCTTGAGAAGGTTTCAGTTCTCAGGAGCAGGAAGTGCACTGTCCAGTTCATCTCTTCTAATCCTGTCCCTATCCTAGGCTCTTAGTGCATAAAGGATTCAGACCTGCAACTTCCCGATAACACAACTCACTGTGCATTCCATAAAAACTGCTTAATCTGCATTTCTAGCTGAATACAAATGACAGGTGTGCATGGCCTGTTTTTGACTCTCCAATAGTTTTTAACATGCCCACTGAAGAGGAGGAGTGCCAGCACTCATCAACGGCTTTCCTGGTGGAGCGACTCTGAAGCCCTGAGCTTGGTCTTTTCTCCAGCCTTTGGCGTTTTGCTTGAAAAAGTCAAAGAAAAGGCTAACGGGTTGTCCTTGCTGTGACCTCAGCTCCTAACTTACTGCCGTTCGCCTTCACCCTGTGGGAAATGTTAGCTAGATTAGCTGCCTGACTAATAAACTAAACTACAAAAGCAAGTATTAATCAAGCCCAAATAATCCCTTTAGTTATTCCTATACATATAATGCCTTTTTCATATAGTATGCTTGAAAAAGTAAAAATGTTAATCACTCTACTTTTATGATGTGCATTTTCATCACCTAAAAAAAGGTTTGTTCACCTACTGTATGCTACGGTACATTGTGCAGCCTTGAAATGTCCTGCCGCAGAGATTAATAATGTAACATATACAGTACCAACACGAGCACAATTCCCTGTATACAAACACTGCTGATGGACAGCACTGTAGACAATGGCACTGTAGCCATTGGCTTCCTCCGTCCTGTACCTCTTCATTTCTTAACTCTAATGCAAATTAAGTCTGTGATTAGTTAAGTCAGTTAACCAGCCTCAAATATAAAATAGTATTTTTGGGCTATAGTATAAAAAATAATATAGAGAAAACAAAGAGGTCAGTAGGAGCTCAGTACTGTACATTTCACCTTAGGGTACATTGTACAAAGGAAGCCGAGGAACAGCGCTGGTTTTCTGTGCTGGTCTGTGCTGTGCGGGCAAGAGGGGAGGGGTGTAACTACAAAGGCCAGGGACAGAAGCAGTCTGGGTATGTAGGTCCTCTCCCGCCCAGCTGTAGCTTGGGGTATGGAGAGCCTCAGGGCAATGGGGCTCTGAGAGGGGAGGCAGTGTTCAGCAGGCTGGTGGACACAGGCAGGGTTAGTTATTCAGTATGCTCACAGGAGGAAACTCATTCTCATCATCCAGGCACACCGGGCCAGCGGCGAACTCATGCTCCGGGATCAGCTCTCCTTTCTTTGTGCCTCCATCCTCCGAGTAACCTGGGCAAGGAACACGGCTTAATCACCTGAGGCTAGGGGCAGGATTCAAGCAATTCCCCTCAGTCATTAATCATCACTTTACAATACATAAACCAGGCAAAACACTGAATACTCCCAGGGCTTTCTCTGTTTTTTTTGTATAACTATATAACTAAGAAGTTTTCTTTACTCAGGTTAAGTGGAATAGAAACTCTTTATTCCCAGTTCAGTTCAGTTATTCTTGCATAAACATAGCTGCCTTTTCTACTTTATTCATTTAGTTTTTTTCCCCTTTTTAGAATTTTGAATTTGGAATCACCAATTATTTTTTTCATGTCTCTGCTAGGAGCTAGAACCCGCAATTGCACACAGGAAAGAATGAGGGAGAGTGGGTGGAGTCCATGAAGATGTCCACCTACCAACCACTTGTCTTTTAGCACAGCATAGGCAACACAGCCCTGCAAAGGTGCATCCACTGGAGAAGAGGCAATAAAAGCACCCCTACAGCATTGTGGGTACTGTGTTGCTGAGGGAGCCCAGTCTAATTCCACCCTACTCTCGGCAGGATCTAGCCAACTGTACAACACTGTTAGGTGAATCATGATCAAGCTAGTGACGTAACCCAGGCTCGAACCCATGACACCAGAGCACAGCCTGCAGTTAGAAAAGTGCCTTTACTGGCTGAATCACTTGCATGGCTCCTTAGATTTGTCTTTCTGATTGAATTTGTTGCAAATTGAAGTCTGTTGAAGTCTACTGCGGCCTGTTTCCAGATTTCTTTTTTCATTATAGTTGGAAGCTCATCTACCCATGATCATAAAAATCAAAACTTTCTGAAGAATAAAAAACATTTGTTTGTCAACCGGTAGCTATGAACTGCCCTCCTGCTACTGCGTGTGGGGATGCAGGGGTCAAAGGTCAACGATCCCGGGCTTACCTGTGAGGGCTGTGGAGGAAGGCACTGCAGTGGGGATGGCGACAGTGGCAGCATAGGACTGGCAGGCTGGAGGTGCCACTCTGCTCTCAGACTCCTCAGACTCTGCCCAGTCCTGGTCTGAGCCAAGCAGCCTGGAGGGCAGACATTGATGAAACTGAGCTAAAGAAGCAACCAATGATAAGCAAAGAAGCTAGAACATAAGAGGGATAGATGCGTAGAGGAGCCATTTAAGGAAGTTTCGTCTCCTCTGTAAGCTTACAAGTATTCAGTTAGAAACATACATGAAAACAGAAACAAAAGGGGGCAATAGTTAACACATCTTTACACAGACTTGGAGGAAAAAACTGGAGGGTGAAGCTGCAGTTACTGATTTGTTCTTTCAAGGAAAGGATTTGTTAAATGACGAGTGAATAGCAAACTGGGGTTCAGGCTTGCTTTCCTGACCGCTTTCTTCAGTAACTTTTCTTGTTTTCCTTTATTCAAGTTCACCATAGTACAGTGCAGCAAAAACAGCTTAAATTGCAATAAAGCACTGTGGTGTAACACCAGTTTCAGGAAACCACAGTGCTGACATTAAAAGGCATGTTACAAGGGCAGTAGACTCGGGTAAACTGTGACAATGCTGTGGACTTCTTCACTCTGGCCATCATTTCCTGTGCGAGTTTTACCTGTGTTTCTTCACCAGCATGCACTCACCCCCGTCCTGGGGGTCTAGGTTGTAGATGTACAGGTGTCCGTCAGAGGAGGCAACCAACAGGCGTGGCAGCTTCTGGATCCTGAAAATCACAGAAAGACCTTTACAACCTTCAACCCAAGACAGGAAGCTGCCACCTTTAGGAACTGCTACATGGTCATTTAGAAAGAGCAGGTCAGGCTTTGACTGAAAGTAACACGTGTTGTGGAAAGCATTTGACCAAACCAGATTACATCGTCAGTTAAGTGAGCAGCAATGCCAAGTAATCAGAGGAACCAAAAAAAGGAAACCAACTAGTAGCAAACATTTCTCAAACGGGCATGACTTAAATGTTCCACAAGTTATGAAGAAATTTCCTCCAAAATGACTGATAAGATAAGGTCATAAGGCTGATAAGGCAGCAGCTTGCTGTGTGGTTCCAGATGAGAGTAGCAGGCTCTAATGTGGTGCACTTCGCTCCCATCTCATTAGAAAAGCCAGGATAGGCACGCTCAGGTCTGCCATTATTTCCTTGGGTGAAGGGACCCCTTGTTTCATGCAAAAATGAAAAAAAATAGCAGATAGAAGGAGAAGCAACGTGGGCACAGAACATGCGTTATGAGGCATTGTGTCCTGACCAGGCCCAGCCTTGCATAGCTTCTTGATTACGAGGTGGTAATGTAGCTGTTTAAAAACTATGCAACATGACACAGGTTGCATAGAGAGATCTATACTGTATATGTTACAGTATGATGACTACTAAGGAGCAGAGTTTGGCTGACACACTTCGGAACAGGTCACTGAAATTCACTAAACTGGACATGTGTGTGTATGTGGTAGTACAGTAAGGGTCAAGGTCACAACAGCCAACTGTCCTCTCGGCTGTTGGGAAGCAGCACAAAGAAAGCAGGGCAGGAAACGCCATCAAAAGGATTTGGGCCAGAGATGGAGGATAAATAGTGGGGTGCTTGATTGATGAGGTACAGGCACAGACATGGGCGCGTGGAGTTCTAGCTTGGATGAGGGGGGGTGACTCACGTGGCGAGGGCACAGACATTCTTCTGGCCAAAAATGTTGAGCCGCACAGTGGCAAAGGCGCGGTCTTGATTCATCATGTCGGACACCTGCGCCGGGAGGTAGTTGCTGGCCGCTGAGAACATCTTGCCCACGTAGGCAGACCAGGTGGGAGACTCTTCCTCGCAGCTGAAATGACACGCGGCCAGTGACAGGGCAGGTCAGCGAGGAGAGAAGCAGCAAACCATGGAACAAGGGCACCTCACTCATAACAAGATAAGACGGGGTGCAAAAACGAGGTGGCCATTTGAACTATGGGGTCCATCTGATTTCTAGTAGAAGATTGGTCAGAGGATCTGTTTTTTTAAAGAAGCCAGAGTATCAGCTACAATTAGCTGACTGGGTAGCTTCTCATATGACTGAGACCTTCAAGCAAAAAAAAAACAATTTTTGTGTGGAGGAGATTTTTTTCTTTTACATTGTGCAAATGGTGTGCAGGTTTCAAAGAAACTCTGAAAGGTACCGTTCAGGGTTCTTTTTCATGCTAACTGATAATTATAGGATTGGATCAGCCACCCAGAGTTTGGGCTTGGGTTTGATGATCTCGACAGGCAAAGAGTTATTGCAAATATTGTATTTACAATAAACTGAGCAGGAAGAGGCAGTTTCCCGGGTTTTCCCAGAAAGAACTGTGCCAAGCCTACTCATTCCTGCCCCCTTGTGGCTATGAAACACACCATCTCCATGTCAACGCATATAAGCAACACTCCTAGTCTTATTCAAAATGATCTCTTGCACATAATTCTGATTTATTGTGCAGTAAAGGACACATTACCCTTGCTTGGATAAATAAAAACAAGCCAAGGCAGAGAGAGAGAAAAAATAGGGAAGTGTCTACCTGGGACTGTGCTGCTCCAGTTTGAAAATGTGCACGGTCTCAGTGTTGCTGGAAGCACACAGGAATTGGGCATCTGCGCTGAAGGATAGGGAGCTGATGTTCACGTACCTGCAGAAACAACTACTGATCAGCTGGGCTTCTCCTGCTTCTCTTTTATGTCATACTGGATCATAACAGTAAAGGACAACAGAGCCATGGGGACTCCTCTCCACCACCACCAATGTGTAGCCCCCTCCTGGATGATGAGATGGCAGCCACAGTGCACCAGTATGCTCACCACACACCAGCAATCAGTGGGGATGGAAACACAGAAATGATGCCAATTCATAGATGGGGATTTTAAGGCGGCCATGATCGGTAATGTCTAGGGGGGAATTTAGTCAGGACACTGGGGTAACACCTCTACACTTTTGCCTTAGGATTTTTAAAGACCACAGAGAGTCAGAACTTTAGTTTTACATCTCATCTGAAGGATGGCACCTTTTTTTACTGTATAGTGTCCCCTGTCACTATGCTGTTCCATTAGGACCCACAGGGGTGCAGGGCCCCACTAACACCTCTTCCAGCAGCAACCTTAGGTTTTCCCAGGAGGTCCCCCATTCAGGTACTGCCAAGGCTCACAGCTGCTGAGCTTCAGCGGGTTGCCAGTTGTGAGCTGCAGGCTGAAATAGCTTCTGAAGCTCAAAAGCTCAAAAATGTCTGCAGACAACAAACCACTAGAGCAGACTAAATAACAGATTTCCACATCCTACATCAATCCAAACAATGAAACACTCACCACGATTGTTTTTAACTCTGCAGTTTATATTAGCTGTTAGCCAAAGCGTTTCCCAGGGTATTTCTCGAAAACAGTAAGGGTTTTAACCCCGGCCAGTGCCCTGGCCAAATCCCCATTTATGAACTGGCTTCATCTGTTCTCGACCCAATGATAGCTGGTGTGTGGGGAGTGTACTGGTGCAGTATGACTGCCATCACGTCATCCAGGTGGGGCTACACATTGGTGGTGTTGGAGGGGTCTCCATTGCCTGTAAAGCACTTTCAGTGGAGTGACCAGAAAAGTTATATGTAAGTGTAAGAATTATTATTATTGTTATTATTGTAACCACATATAGAACTCAATCTGCAGAGAGTGTGTCTAAACTAGTGTGTGTCCACCTTTTATCTCTTGTGCACTGACCTTTTCATCCCTCGACGGAACTCGAACAGCTTTTGTCCCTCGGGGATGGTGAAGACTCTGATCACAGTGCCCTGCGACAGCAACGCAGCAGTTACAACACGCTAACGATCCGCCACCAAGCACGCTGCTGCATACTGCTGGGGAGCACTTACTGACCGTGGGGTTTACAGAGGAGACAGGGTTTTAATGGGTGTGGGGAAATAGCTCATGAAGTCCCATATATCCCTCCTTCAATGTAAAGCAGTAGCAGCACTTTGCTTCTTAAATCAGGGTCAAATGGAGAGAAGCCATTAGCCAAAGGCTCTCTGTTAAATCAAATCTCAGGGCCTGCAAATGCAAAAAAAAAAAGATGGGAGAAAGGCCTCAACAGGGTTGTGCTCCAGCGAGAAAGCAGAACAAGGCTGAAAGATTGAAGATGAGGAAGAACAGAGGAAAGGAAGGGGCAGGGGTCTCCCTTACCCTTTCTGAGGCACTGCCCAGCTTGGTGCCCGAGGAGTTGAAGGTGACAGCAGCGAGGGGACTATCATGGGCTGGAATCATGGTCACAGTGCTCTGTGGAGACAGATTGACAACCCCAGAGACCATCAGTACGCAGGTCCCACTGTCTTTGCACAGAATTACTCCATATATGGCTTTTTAACTGTGTCAAATCCTGAGTTCTGTTTGGATGATACTGTTGTTAGTTTTATGTTTTACAAGAGCAAGGCACTATGGCATTTGTCATGAATCTCGCAGCATATTGCAACGCAAACCTCCATGCTTAATTACCAAATTCAGCCGCTCTCCTTTAAACCATTTGCACAGTGCCAAGTCCATTTCCTTTTTCTACTATATCTGAAGGATTTTCCAGGAAAGCCTCAGCTGCACGGAATTTCTATACCCTAGTAAGCCACACTCACCAGGTTGTTGGCATCGTACACGATGATCTCTCCAATGGTGGAACTGCCAGGGTAAGCCAGGTAGGAGTTGGAATGGTTAGTGGAGAGAGCGCACAGACCTGGGGACACAAGAAGAGGGCTCTCACTGCCAGGAGGGGAGGGCATCACATCATGATGCGCATTTTTCCCAGGTGCACTCTGAAGCTGAAGCAGAGGGAGGCTTGGCCTGGTGCCCCCGAACTGGAGCCCCAGTGTCTATGTAGTGTATTAAATGTCACTGATGTCACTATAACAAGCTGAGCTGGGGGAGAAAGGGAGCAACTTTCTTTTTCATTAACAGATCATTCTCACGTCCAAGTTGTCTCACTCTTAAACCAGGAGTGATTGATGTAATAAATGACCAAAAAGTAAGAGATTTTTTATTCCCAACCTTCTGACATACAACTTCAAAATACCAAGGTGCTACAGATTCGATAAAGGTGGCTTGACAATTAAGGTTTAATTCTTTGTAATGTGGTATTTGAATGCCTGTTTAATCTGAACCCTGGTAAGTGTTATGCTTCGAGCATGCTTGAGAATGTTTTTACTTGCTTCTCATGGTTTAGCGGTTGTGTTTGACATCATGACTTTCACAATGTCCAGCGGGGGCGTTCTGGCAAAGCTTGTTGGGATATTTGCTTACAACCAAGCAAGCGGCCTTCATGTTGTTTTCTGTTTGACCGTAGCAGTGCAGCATGGGTACAGTTACATACCTGTTGGATTGGGAGGAGTGTTGAGGAGGGTTTTCAGAAGCTTCATGTCCTTTATGTTGTGAATGTAAATGGATTCTTCCAGACAAACTATCAGCCTCTGTTACAAAAAGAACCCAAAATAAAGTGTTCAAGCACCCAACAATCTGAAACAATATAATAAAAGTAATGGGCTCTCTTAAGGAAAGTGTGCCTCAGGAGTAATTTAAAGAATGCTCGGATTTGCACGTCTGTGTCCCTCAAAGTGCCAGCTCTGCTGTGAGACCTGTGAGACCTGTGATATTTGGTTATTCAGAGAAAATGCCTGCTGTAAATGGCTACCTGGACCTGACAGACCTCTGGGGAGTATATACTACAGATGGGGCAGAGGTGTAATAAATTCCTGACAGAACAATAGATATCTTCCAGATTATTCAAGGCTGAAAAAAAAATTCAAACTTCCATTATTCGCATTTTCTTGTTCAAGTTCAGTTGGAGAAAAAATCCTGCTGGAGATGTGCAGTTATGGGTCATACCAGGTGTTCACAGGAAAGTGAAATATTGTGCACCATGTTCAGTCTAATTTTAATGGATTCCACAACAGGTCCAGACACAACTTTCCTCTTACTGACTTTGGAATAAGCAGGGAGATTGAGAGACGTGTCTAACCAAGACCTCATGTTCACAGTCTGCTACAGCAGTGAGCAGAGTTATATGCAATTCACAGTACTGCCAAAGTGCGCTGTTCATATTCTCAATCTTCACCAAAACAGATTCATAGCTTTTCTTTAAGATAACATAGAAATATTACCAAAAACCACTTGGCAGTGGCCACTAACTAAATCAGGAACCATAATAAATGCCACGATGTAATATGAATACTTGATCCGGAACAAGTGATAAGTCCAGGGTTTTTCTGAATAATATTCTGTTTTTAAGTTTAATGTCAAGTAACAGATTAGAAAATATAGATTTTTGAAAAAGCAGCCTTCAAACTAATAACTGACAAGCAGTTGGTTTCTCTCCCCACTGCAGACACCGTTGATGTAACTTGAGTGAGGTACTTAACCCCATTTGTCTTCTTAGGACCAGCAAAGTTGTGGGTAACCCCTGCCTCCCACCCTTGAGGTAGTCATGTGATCTCTAGTGCACTTAACATGAATGAAACCAGGATGAGCTCTAGCCTAATGAGTCACTCTAGTATTTTACTTTTTTCTTTATTAAAATAAAGTGCACTTGCTGCTTTTAAGAGACTGTACTGCACTGCGTGTTTAAGTAAATGTATTTTTAATGCTACCAGGATTAGAAATAGTCTTAAATTAGGACAAAAATAAATTAGAAAACGTTTCTGCAGGTGGGTTGGACTGGGTAAAGGAAATGGTTCAGGGGGACTTCCTTACTTTCGAAAATGAAACTGTCGTTATTCTTGATCTGGATATTTGAATACCAGTACTAGGTAATGCAAGAGGTTTTACTTACATTTCTCTGTTAGTGTGTACAAGCTGTGCTGTGCAAAATAAACAGGCCCTAAGAGCTGAAGTTTTCTTCCATTTTGACTCAGTAGTTAAAGGTCTGGAACGGCTGCAGCGGTGAATTGCTAATCTTTTCCAGGCAATGAATCTACTTTATTGGAATCTGTTTCAGCTGCTTGTTTCAAATGATTCCATTTGTGGACTGAAGTTAAATCTGCTCTTAAGGGCTGGGCCATCTGTATTTCAGATAGTCAGGAGATTCATTTGAAAAAGGAACTGCAGGTCAATAAAGCTGTCATGTCAGCATGACAATTCAGTTGCATCAGTGAGACAGAACTGAGTTAAATTTGGACATTTAAAGCAGTATAAGCTTGTCAATGCCTAGACTTTGGACATGGTAGAAACTGTTTAAGAATGAATGAAGCCCTTAAGAGGCCAGTGATGTCCCATATCTACTATTCACATTTGACACACAAGTAAGTAGTTGCATCTGATCATTCAAACAGACAGGCCATCATATGTAGGTAGCTTCAAATGTGAAAATAATTAACAGTAAAAACAGTAATCATTTTTGGAATTGGGTAGCTTTGCTTTTTGTTTAGGGAAGAAACATAAAATATCTTGTCTCCAAAAAAAAAGAAGCACAATCGCCATGTCTGGTGTGTGCCTCACCCATGGTAGAGCACCGAGACCAGCTAAGAGATGGCATGCTGCACAGAGTGACTCCGGACTCCGGAGATCCTACCTGCCGGTTCAGCCTCACAGCCAGGATGTTGTTGGAGTAGCTATAGTTGCAGATCTCTGTGCCTTTCTTGAAGTGATAGACGTTCATACGGCGAGGCATGGACAGGCTGACCACCACCACCAGACTGCTAGAGAAGAGGCGCTCCACAATGTAGACCTCAGGGGTTTCTGCTAAGCAGGGAGGCAACCGACAGGCCATCAGCCTCAAATACTGCATACCATCACCACATAGGCACGACCCACAGCTTCACACAATTCATTTTAAACAAACTTCAACTCTGGTTCGATACAGGCTACTGTACTGTCTGCATTAACAGTTTTAATTACTTCCATTTGCACAGTACTTTCATTTGTATAGTACTGTTAAAGCCTAAAGAATCCCCAAATGCTTCACACGTAGGAGTGATCCCACTGCTTCCACCAGTGAACTATGGCACCCATCTACTGTACTGTAGGTGATGTGCAGCAGCCATTACATGCCGGTAGTCCCACTACACAGCACTACTCAGGCAGAGAACTGAAAATTAATTTCACCAATTGAATTGGGGACGCCAATGAGGAGTTTAAGCAGGAAGTTAACCATCCCACCCTTTTTGAAGATTACCAGGAGATCTTTAATGATCAAGCACTCAGAAATAATTTTAAAGTGTCATCTGGGGAATAGTACCTCATACACCACAGTGGCTTCAGTCACTGCAATGGGGTAGTGATCTGGAAGTTCTAGCCCAGGGCACAAAGTACCACTTACTGCTCCACCTACACCACAACAGCAGCAACCTGATCTCCCATCCCAGTACTGAGCAGAGCCAGCCTTGCTTATCCTACCAGGTCTGACTACCAAGCAACAATGCTGTACATGACATAAACCCCACCGACCCAACCAGAAATGAAAGTAGGAACCGAAGGCACAAGTGGAAAACAATGTGCATTTAGGATTGAGGATGCAATAGTTCTTTACATGCAGAGCTGTTGAATCATCTATTCAACCATCCTGTGGAGGCCCATTTCCTCAGATCCTTCAGGAAATAGCTAGATGATATCCTCGAGTCAATCAGCTATGTATGTGAAATCAAAGGAGCCAGGCAGATCTTTCATATGTTCTTAATACAAATCTTGGTAGAATCTATAAGAGTTTACATTAGCAGTGCCCAACTTCGGGCCTTAAGGGCAGGTTTTTTAGGTTTTCAGCTTCTCAAGAACAAAGAAAGGCTTCAACTGTCCTGTTTAGGATAATAATGAGTAATTAAGTAATTAAGGACTCAGGTGGAAGTAAGATTGGAACCTTCTGGCCATCTAGCACCGGAATTGTGCACATCTGATTTATACATTTTTTTTTCCACATAAATATTTATGAACATGAGTTGATAACATAAATGAATGTAAAACACATGCGGAACAATTCAGCACTCTCACACCAGTTAATTAGAAATGGAAGGCACAAGAAAACTGTCTTGCAAAGTAAGATGTACAACACAAGATCGACCTCTGAGCTCAGAGCAGCATGCCTTTGCTATAACGTAAAAGACACCCGCAGAGTGTACAACCCACAGCAATAAAAGCCACAGAAAAACAGATTTTCTAAAGAAAGTGCAACACGAATTAAGCCCACAAGAATCTCCCTCCACAGCCTGTTTCACACCTGCAGCCGAACCAAGAGGTGAGGGTGCATATTGTCACCAGCTAAACCAACAGCCCATCCACCATGAACAGCTTGGGCATAGTGTCTTAATGAAAAAGACTTCTGTTGATCTGACCTTGTCTCAGTTTTCTCGAGCTAAGGGCAGAAGGGAAAAGTAAAATAAAATGATTAGTTTGTGTTGTATCGATAATGAGCACATCACTGGTACAGCTGTGAACCTGCCGGCATCCAAAGAACAGAGGCTTTTCTGTGTTCTTATCATAACAGTGTTGTGAGTTAGAGGGTGTCTCTCTTCCAGTGGCAGAGCCACACTCCCTTGAGCAAGAACTCTGCAGCTGGGCCACATGTCACTTCGAAGGGGAGACCTCCTTCATCAACAGCTGCCATACTGCACACTGATGCTGCCTGCCACTTGAAGCCAGTGTGGAAATATGTAAAAAAAACGTGTGATTAACCTGATATCGAAGGGGAGGGAGGAAGGTTGCAACTTGTGAAAGAAGCAGAAGTACTTACTGCTTTCATGAATAAGGTCCAGACCATCCACGGCAGTAACAGAAAAGAGCTTGTAGCCATCCTTGGTCCCAACAGCCAGCGATCTAGATCAGAAGGGGTGCAAACAGTCAATGACCACTTCTCCAAGCCCTGAACTTCATAGCTATTGAATCCTTTCATGACTGGCTACTCCTATTTTTTTATTACAGGAACCTCTTGTCTTTTCTTCTTAGATTCTCGATGTTCATGGTAAAAAAAACAGATCCAGAAGAAAATACAGTATTTTCTTTAAAGATCTTCTAAAACTCTGTCTTTGGCCATGTACGTGCTAGAGAAGTACTACTATTGAAACCACAGTGCCTACTGAAGCCAGCACAGCACTGAGATTCTCCCCTGCCTAGTTTTATCAACCTCAGGCAGAAGGGATCTCCTCAAAAAAGCATTAAATTTTTTGAGAAGCTAGTAACAACCCCACTGTTTCATATTATAAGCATTACAAAAATTTGCTATATTTAGATTTAGATCTTTAATGGAAACACTTCTTTTTTGTTGTTTTTTTGCCTCAGGTATCCCTCCTCCACCTCATTTCCTTCTTTGTAGTTCCCCCTTGGTTAACTCCTCACCCTGAAAGGAGATGTGCTTCCTCATCCTATAACCAGGAAGCTGCCCCTTAGTCAGGCAGGTCAAACCTAAACTTTTATACTTAAATACTCAATAATCATTCATAAATCACTGATTCCCCTGGTGAAGTTTACAATGTGCCTTGGAAAGGCAAAAAAAAAACCCAATAGAAAATACACAAATGTTCCCATTCTCCTCAAAGATCTGATGTATGGACTATTGGGAAGGTGTGAAATCAGCCCACATCAGAACTTAAAAAGTTCTAGTGGGGTGTGAGGAAAAAAGCCCCATCAAGCCTCAGCAGAGAGGTTTGATTTCCCGTGCAGAGAATACGATTAGACTTCTATGATCAGTTAATATTTGGAAACGCATAACGTGACAAAACTCCCATGTACGGAAATCCCTGATCGAAGCGCAGTCGTGAGACCTGGCATGCATCTTATTTCAGAAACGCTGACAGACAAGCCTCGGGACGGTGTCGTACTGTAATACAGAGTAAACGAAACTGCATTTGCGTTGCTTCTAACTTTCAGACATCAATCTAACAACGCGGCAGTGCGTTAGGAATCCGAACTATTAATCCTTTAAAACAGGTTATGTAACAATAGTTTTCTTCAGGTTTATGCATTGAATCAGCCAATTCCCCTACAAGACATAGCAATAGATTTTGACCACTTAGCCATTATAGAATAATTTCACACTCGCGGTTATATGTACTCTGTAATTAAATACAGAATTTTACTGTCTGTATTATGCAACTGCAGTCTAAACTAATGAGAATCAGCTGAGTCTGTGTCAGCACTAGCGAAATTGAGTCTTACGTGGTGTCTTGATTGAAGGAAGCGCAGATCAACCCCGCCACCCCGCCGGGACCTGCAGCCCCCTCTCCTGTCTCCATGCCGATTCCCAGCTCCCACCCTCCCTACCTCCGCCTCGGATCGGAGGCCTGGGATCGGTTCGGCTTTTTTTCAAAATCACTTCCAGTTGGAGATCCACCTATGACTAGCGATCTTACGTTACAGACCCTTGCTTTCTTCTCTTGTTTACTGGAGCCAGACAGATACGGTACGAGAACGCCCTTATTTTTGGTCTATATATTTTTTTTTATTTCAGAACTCCAGAAGCATAACTAGAAGAGGCAAAAATGAACTGCAGCAAAACAAAAACAGCTGACAGCTTGTGACATCACTTTAAGGGTCACGCTGCTGTTGGCTGGGGAGGGAAGTCACCCTCCTACCTTTTTGCGGAGGATTCCGATTGGCCAAGCCTAACCAAACGCTGTTCCGATTGGCCAAGGTGTGACTACGAAGGTAAAGGGGGAGTTGAGTTGGTTAGCCCCGCCCATTCCAGCAGGGCTGATTTCGATTTGCTGAGAATTATTCCAGTCCCGGCACGAGGCTTTGTTTTGGTTACCTGGTATCTTTGAAGCCGACAAGTTTAAAGATAAGTAATCGAAGAGCCCTGTAGTTGTACCAAGCATTAATGAATTAAGACATTTGTCCTGGGGAATTTGAATGCTCTGAAAGAATCAGATGGGGCCTTTTCACTGCATCTCAATTTGTGGAACCTGAAATTTTAGACTTAAGCCAAAGAAAGCAAAAATGTCGGAGCGCTACAGTTGGCCATCGCTATTTCCGTAAACGTGTTGCTTTATAGTGTCAGATACAGCCGGACGCTTTAGTTGCATCAACAGTAAAATCCCTTCGATTACGGAAAGCGACTTGCACGCTACGTGGCGACTGAAAATACTTATTTTTAAGCAGTATCGAGGGTGCAGTATTATAAGCAACAGGGGACATTTCTAAAAAATAATTGCAACTGAGATCTAGTACTCCTAAGTAGGGAAGGGGATCCCCTCGGATTCAGGATGCAAGGGATGTTTTGGGGGGCCCCCTTCGCGCCATTTTTTTGGGTTCGGGGGAACAAAGGAGACACTGAATTAATATGCCGGTGTTTTATTTAAACTGGAAAGCGGTATCCGCCTTTTTAAATGCGCTAATGCAGTGAAAATCTTTCTTCCACTGTCGGGGGCGCATGATTTGTCTCTCTGCCGGTGCAAAGGCGCAGTATTAAATTGATATGTATGTAACGAACAAGAAAGGGAGACACCACAGCCTGTCTGCACTCTTTCGGTTTTCCCCGTCTTGAAGAAAGATAACTTAAGTTTTTATTCATAGGGAAGACTTACACCGCGAGACAGTTTTAACACGCTCGCTGCCTGTGTGACTGTAATCTTATTATCCCGTTATTTTTATTGAGAAAATAAGTAATAATCAGTAATTGTTCTTCTGTTTTGTCTTAATTATACAATCTAGATGGTAGAGGGAAACCTAAGTAAACAGGAGAAGACAGTTTGCTTTGTTCTTGCTTTGTTCTTTTTTTTAAATATAATTTAACCGTAAGCATTAAAATTAAACTAGTCTCATCGGCATACATTGTTATCCCCTTCAGATTTAAATACAGCTCTCTCCTCCAAATGAAACACGCACACCAAATACAGGTCTGATCCTATACATGCTCACAGCAAATTTCAGCCAGATTGGGTCTGTCAGTCCTAAAATACTCATGGGATACGCTTTCAGACAGCTGCTAATATCGCACAGTCTGCCTGTATAATTGTTACCTACACTACACCTTAGAAACAAAACAGAATTATACTTTGTTAATTGTTTTCTTTATTTTTACAAGCTGGCTGCTTAAGTTGCTTCAACAGTAAAATCCAAAAAGCTGCCGTTGGTTGTACAGGATTTAATTCCCAGACAATACATGTGGTCCAAGAAACTGCAGGCATCACACACAACCTGTAACACAAAAATGGAAAAAGAAGAAGATAAGTATTGTGCAGTGTTGCATCTCAGGAAACAAATCCAATATCAAATGTGCCAAGAACACACCCACTTTCTTTCCAAATCATAGTGCATAAATGTTTTGTTGGTTATTTAGGTTTATTGTTTTTGATGCAAAATACAAGTCTTTTTCGGTGATTTCCTGTTGTTCTGTTCTACTTGTAATGAGTTATTGACACCTCATAAAATCATAAAAACAATTAGCTATGTTTTCAAGTACTGAAGTTGTAAGATCTTCAATAACGTTTAATTCTCATAATTTAATCTTACAGTATTTTGTTCATGCGTCTTTACCTGTGCCTGATGTCTGCAATTGAATTTTTAGAAATGGCAAGTTCCTATTTTACTTACACTGTTTGTGGCTCCTGAAATTCCAGTCTTCCACTGAAGCTGAATCATACAGCTGCCTGCATCCACTGACCATGTGTCACACAGCTCCCTGGTTACAGAGACTTCCATTGATCCTGTGTCTTTTGTTGCAACCTTTAGTCTGTGAGGAATCCTTTTGGATGTTTCCACATAATGAATCAAATGCTCAATGATTAACTTAATATATACTTTCCCCCTTTCTCCTGTAACAGGTCAATATATTTCCCACCAATGTTTGCGATGACAAGAAATCCTGATCTAATTTCCTTCCTTTTAATAATAATAATAATAATAATAATAATAATAATAATAATAACGTTTCTTTATTAGCCCAATACAATTTCTTGCTTTAGGAATTTGTCTTTTCTTTTCTTTGCTGAACTCTGGCATCTTGTCGATGCACCTTGTCTCCAACTTTAAAAGTTGTTCTTTTTCTCCCTCCAACTTCTGTTTCTTTCTCTGCCCTGTTCGGTGATTCTCTCGAATAAAGAACCCACGTTTTCCTGCAGTGCAATGCATTGAGCTACCAGGTCTTCTAATTGCAACATGTCTGCTTCTGAACCAACCTGACAAATATGATGAGAATGTAACATTTAATTGGAAGTGTAAAAAAACGTGCACAAGATCTAAAATATTGTTACAGCTTTAAGCCCGTATCACACTACATTATTCGACTCGGCTTCTAGTCGGACAGCATGTCAAATTTAATGACTGCAATTGCGAATCTCACTGCCTTTCCTTTCCTAGAGGGTGTCAAATTATACGACTAGGAATTGCAGGGGGTGACTACGACTTTTCATCATGGTTCCAAATCCAAATCTCGTATTGCACCACGAAAGTACCGCGAGGTGGCCTCGTTTTGGCAGCCTATCAATGTGGAGCACCGCACAAAAGTAAACAAACAACATGGAGAACAAGCACGTAACATCTTGAAAAATGTAACACCCACGTTGTTAATCATCTTCAAAAATGTCATTCTTCTTTAAAAATATAGAACAAGTTTAGAAAAATAAAACCACAGTTAAAAATGTAAAACACCTTTAAAACAAATATTGTAAAAAAATTAATATTGCGCTATAATATGTAATATTATGGGTACATTATCTCACAAGTACACATCTGGCTGACTGCCCATCGCTACGACTTGCGACTCTCTACAAGAAAATCAAACCAGAGTCGCAGAGAGTCATAGGGGCTATTAAGAGCGCTTTGACTGAGTCGCTGGGGGTGTCACACTACACACTTGATGGTAAAGGGAACGCGCTGCTACTCTCTAAACTCTGTGATTTTCTTACGATTATGTAAATGAAGGCTACGACTGAAAATCCTAGGAAAAGTCTTGTAGTGTGACACCTGGCATTAGGTGACCTAGAAGCGTCTCATAGATTTAAGATAGTGACACTGGGAAGAGAAAACAAAGAACATGGTTATGTTATGGCACTGAATATACAGTAAGACAACAACATATACTACTACTAATAATAATAATAATAATTGCTTACTTATATAGCGCTTTTCTGGACACTACACTCAAAGCGCTTTACAGGTAATGGGGACTCCCCTCCACCACCACCAATATGCAGCATCCACCTGGATGATGTGACAGCAGCCATAGTGCGCCAGATCGCTCACCACACACCAGCTCTCAGTACTGTACTTTATATACAATATGTATTCTATTATACACAGGTATAGAACAATTATGAAACTGATTATAATGTGACATGAGACCCTCCCATTAACATAAGCCAAATTCACATTCGTTATGTTTTATCATAGGTTTCTACAATGAGTAGATGAATAAAAAAACATTTGTTATTGTATGCAAATGTTTTAAAAGCAACATACAATAGTAAATACTATTATTTAGCATTTGGAAACCTTGCTATTTGATCTCTTATAATATCCAGTAAGGGAAAATGTGGCTCTTTTTGTGGTTCCCGTTCCATTTTGTTTTGACTGTGTTTATACTGTAATTACTGATAACAAGATGGTCTATTGACAAAGGTAATTGTGTAGTCCTTAAATTATTTATCTCATTATTAGATTTTTATGTTAAGATTGATTGATTTATAAAAGCTATCAATCAAATTTCCATTGTTTTATAGAAAAAATGCTGACTGTTAAAGTTAGAAGCATACAGTGAATGCAAGATTGATCAGAATAGTGTCGTGATCCAGTTAAGAAATAAATTAAAGATTACTTTCAGGTTTGTATTGTCTTTGAAAGTTTTTTTTATTTTTAGTCTTTGGAGACATTTTCCTTGGACAATATTAGACATTTATTTTTGTAAGCATATTTCGAAAAGCAACAGAAAATGTACAATTTACTGTAAAACTCCACACTCATAACAAGTTCAAATTTCCAAAAACACTCTATGTTGTTCCTCTTATTTCATCAAAGCTATAATGCCATTCTTAGCTTCTAATATTTGTAGCCTCAGAAGATGGAATTTGGCCTCTAGGAGTACAGCAGCATCTCATGGATCGAGCCTTTTAAAGGTTTAGTGCTGTGGAAAAAAAGAGGTGGGATTAGTATATTCTGAACACAAGTGCTGTGATCATACGGAGTGTATCACACCATTTAATCCAAAGTAAATTGCAGCAGAGCAGCAACACAGTCTCTCGTAAGCAGGGTTTCATGTCATGTTTAATGTCATGCTTTTGAAAAGCAGGAGTTTAAAGTTAAGCTTCCCTTTCCTTTGAAAGCGAAGTTTCACTAATCAACGAGCTGTGGACAAACACGTACACCTCTAGCTTGCCCAACCACTGCAACACAAAACTTTAGTGCAAATGTGTGAACTCACAGGGGTGTCATCCATTTTAGGAGAGTTTACCTTAAAATCCCAGACCACCATGGCTCCATCCAGACCCACACTACTGAACGTCTCCACCTTGGATTTTTCCCCCTTGACAATACACAGCTGACTGCAACAGAGAACCACACCAGTTATTTTTTATCCAAAGTGATGCACAGTTAAATTACTTACTGTAATCTGCACACAAATGATAGCACCAGTTTACACATCTGGGTTTGCTGGATGAATCTGGGTGAAGTACAGTACCTTGATCAAGGGGACAGCATCAGTGTCCCTACCTAAGATGCAAACTTGATTACAATCCTGCAATGTTGCCTTTTTAATTTGATATAAAACACTTAAATGTCCCCTAACAGGAGAGCCATTGCAACACTGGTGGAGCCACGGATGTGAGCAAGACAGGATTGGCTGGGACCCATATAAAATTGCCAGATTGCCCTTGATGTTTCCACTGCAATTACTGTACAGGACAGAGTGCCTGGACTCTCAATTGTTGAGAACAACTGCTGCCTTAGAAACCAGGTGAAAATCGCAGACTGACCAGACTTGAAAATGGTCACAATGGTCGTTGCTTTTTACCTTGTACATTTAATGTTTCAAGAGTAGCTTGAGTAACATGAGTGTTATTTGTACTCCTGACAGTCCCAAACATGTTGATTTCTATTTGCCATTCTAGCAGCTGGTAATGTGTAGAAGAAATACAGGAAAAAGAAAGCAGATTCACAGCAGTTACTTTTAAAAGGTCATCAAACTGCCATTTAAAGCCTGTTGGACTACTTTGGAGTCATTTGGGTAACGTTTTGAACACAGTTTTTCAAGGCAAGGTTTTTGATATACAGTATGTTGTGGAAGTGCCTGAGCTAGGGTTAGGTTTAGGTTTTGAGCAACACCTAGACATTTTGTGATGCATTTGCTGTGCTCGGGGACACACACGAAAAGCAGTAAAAGTGTTGTTTTGTTAATTCTTTGAAAAATTAATTTGGCCCGATTTTTGTTTTTGCTAAGCCGCGCACCTGTCAATCAAATCTGGTCAAAGGTCAAAAGTTTAAAAACAATCTTGTAGTGAAATGCATTCACTGCTTAAATCAGCTTTGAGGTTGTCAAATGCAAAGATATAGAGCATCAGGAAAAGAAGAAGGGAGAAAAACATCAAACCAATTTTGTTTTAAACCAATATTAAGTCCAATGTGTGAATATCGTATGCGAATGTGTTTGGCATACACTTTACTCTGATTTTTCTGCTTCATCAAAATCGTTTTTTACTAAACAGGGGATTTGTAAATTTGGATTGAGGCACTCATGTCTTTTCTGCTGGAATACTTTAATGCATCATGTTTCTTCAACTGACCTGAATGAACTTGACCTTTACTGATGAAAATTTATGGAATTCCATGCTCTAAGTTGCTTTCAGTACATATTAATTTAAATGTATATATATATAACTTGTGATTGTGAATCTTTCTTTTTCTTTTTAAAGCAATGTGGTAGAAAAAGACATGCTGCCTCTCACGTGATGCTATTCTGGTGCAGAGTCTCCTGTTCGTTATTGTCCTCCTCAGCGGTGGCTTTCTTGTCCAGATTGCGGAAGTGCTGCATAGCTGACATGCTGGCTTTGGAGCTCTGTTTGGGGACAGTCAGCTTCTTAACAAACTTCAGGGAGCCCACTCCTGTGTAGGAGAACTGATGAGGGTAGCAGTCATGTCCCTGGGACAAAGGAAAAGAGAATTATGACAGATAATACTTTGCATACTGGATAGATGGAAAAGAATTAGGACAAGTACAGTTTTATCCCATGTATCAGTAAGAAGCAAAACGAAGGTAAACACTGAATAATGAGTGAGAACTGTTACTGACCCCAGCTTCCTCTTTTCCATCTTTTCAGATGGGAAATAAAGTGACTAGAACTGTTTTGAGTCTAGAAACCTTTAAAGAAGTGACTTACGACAAGTTGTCCCTGTGAAACAATTATAAATTTTAATAGTAATGTTTAAGAAGACAGAAGTTAGTGTATTAGTTAAAAACCTGTTTGCTGATCACACTAGAGAAAATGTCCCATGCCTTTTGCATTGTAACAACTACAGAGAGACTGATTTTGCTTTTATCCCCCTTATGCTGTGGGGTGTTTGTAGTTTTTCAAGTAACAATCCACACAAACAGATGATGGTACATATGGAATGTTTGTACATCCACCTGGACGAGTGAACTAACCATTTATTAATCTGGAAGCCTGCTTACAATATTTTAGTGGACCCAAAATAGTGAATAGCTGCGCTAGATCTAGTGTTTGAGTCAGTCTTACCGCAGCCACAATCTCAGTCTCACTGAGGTACAGCACACTGAGAAGAGGGAGGTGTTCTGTGTTGAGCTGGGTCACCCTGAAACACATAACGCAGACAAAGAAAATCATTTCAATGAAATCCGGTAAAAATAGACACTGGGAGTTGAATATTGTAAGTGCTGCATTTTTAAAATGTGCCTTCAGTGAGAGTCTCTGTTGCTTTTGATTTTGGTGTAAAGTTTTATTTTTCAGTCTTGTTTTCTATTCCAATATATACTGTACAAGGAATGTAGGATGGATACTAACTGTTGTGTAGCAATGAAACATGTCCTTTCCCTGTCCTGAGCTATTTTAATTGTTTATTTAAATCTCTACTAGTAAGTGATAAACTACTTGTTTCTTATCACTGTACTGATGTGCTGATGTGTACTGAGTGTGTTGTACCTCAATTTCCCTTCGGGATCAATGAAGTCTTATCTATCTATATTCTATCAAGAGGGGAGAGCCCCATCTATTGGTCTGCCAACATAGTCCACACACAGTTATGCTACTGCCAGCAAAATAATGTAATTTCCTTGCCAAGACCTCAATCAGAGCTTTAAGGTTTCTCTGGTCTACTGCATATGCTCTTCCAACATCACATGAGAGAAGAAGAATCGGGAGTCATCAGAGAATGCCACCCTTTGCCAGCATCTAGGTGGATGTCATCTGTGTTGATGTACAAAGTGCATTCCCAGAGTGAGCTCCCTCTCTCTCACAATGAGTCAAGGCATAACTACAGCCTCAATACAATTCATAAGTCTGCATGTCTTCATCTGTATATGTGCAGACAAGTACTCAGGACTGCCGGTGTTCACACATTACCTTTGAGCATGCAAACGTTGCATTTCTTAAGTGATTTGGTATTCAGGGCATTTCTGAAAAAAGTAGGGTGTCCTGCTCATATTCCCCCTGGCCTTTACCAATCATGACCTCCCATTAATCTCCATCTATGAATTGGATTCATCCCTCCGTTCTCCTCCCCACTGATCGCTGATGTGTGGTGAGGGGACTGGTGCCCTTTGGCTGCCATCTCATCATTCAAGCGGGGGCTAATAAACAGGTGTTGGCAGAGGGGAGTCCCATTAACTGTATTCTTTGAGTGGAGTGTCCAGAAAACTCCCCTTCTGATTCAGGAATTTAAAGGGTTAGAAAATAATGAGCCAAGTAAGACCAACTAGGATGTTAAACATAATGATTCTATTATGGAAACAAGTCCTTGGAATATGCTTGTTGTTTTCTTGAAAAAATGACCTGACTAGATTCATCATTCCTGACATTTCTTCCTAAATTACAGATCGGACTTCAAATAACATGTTTTGTTCATAGTCCCCTTAGCTTATCCTGTAAAATAGACACTCACTTAAAAGAGGGGGGATTTGACCTCCCACATGATAGGAAAGCTTATCAAAGTTGAGAGATACAGCCTACTTTCTGCATGTGTGTTCATCACACCTGTTACTCTTTCAACTCTTTTGCTTCTGTCTTTGAACAGTCTGTCATCTGTTGTTGATAATTTAGCAGTGAAATAAAAGGAAATGCAGCATCAAGCCTGAAAGCTGAAAACAGGTCTAATTGTAGGGAGAAGAACAGTGCCTGTACTCACTCCTTGCCCTTAGATGCATCAGCCACACTGATGTTGCTGTTGTGACTGACCCAGGCCAGGCTATCCCCAGAGGGTGAGAAGCAGACACTGTGCACCCATCCCCCACAGTCCCTTTGGTCCAGGAGCACCTCCCCGAATGGCATCTTGGAACCCCAGGCTGTGGGGCTCGGCTTTTCCTCGATGTCCTTGATGTAAGCTGAGAAAACCCTGTCAGTGTAGCACAGAAGACAGAATCACCAGTTACCCTCATCACGTTGCAAATCCCATTAAAAGAAATCAAGTCACAGGTGACGAACACTCCTGTGCAATGAGGGATGCAGCATCCTGTCCTCCAGCTTTTTTCACTCAATGCCTTTCCTGCTTTAAAACCAAATCTGTGGGTGATCTTCTGCTGAGATTTTAGCCGTTTCAATGTATAGCCAACCTCTTAATGGCAATTAAAGATTGCTGCATGACAAGCTTGTTTTGTTGATGGTCGTAACACATGTAACCCTGTTTGTCAGTAAGATGTCTAAGACTTTGCACAGCAGTGTGATTGAGCACTTAGCAATGGTGCTACGGCAACAACATGAATCTACATTTCCTTCCCTGTTTTGTGCTGTTGTGGTGGGGGGGGCTCGGAGACCCTGACCTGCAGTGAAAGTCTGCAGAGCCAGCAGCCAGGAGGAAATTATTGGGGTGCCAGTCAAGACTCAGAATGGTGGAGCAGATAGGTTTCTTGATGTGCTTGCTCAGCCACCTGGAAATCAAATGAAGACATTATCTGTGAATATCAAGAGCCACAGATGGCTAGAATTTACAACAGCAAAAAAGAAAGACTGAAATCACAGCTAGAGATTTCTGGTTGGAAACAGAATGCGAGTTCTTCTTTGTGTGGTAATACAGTATGTCAGAACACAGTAGCAGAGTCTGCATTTCTGCCAGCTTAAAAACAGGTGACAAAAAACAGAGGTGAAGAAAATCACACACCCTCTTCATCGCACTCACCAGTTGTTCCCCTTATCAAAGTAACAAACGGAGATGATTCTCGCCCCACTGCCCAAAGCAAATTTGTTCCCTAGTGGAGACCACTTGACACAGGTGGCGGCCCTATTGATCCGAACCAGCACCAGGGTGGGCTTCCATACCATACCCTCCTCTTTCAGGGTCCACACATAGGCATTTCTGTCAGAGGCACAGGTCACAATGAGGTTGGACTGGGGAGCCCAGTCTATACCTGAAAGCACACACACAGGCTAAACCTATAACATTGCCCCAGTACTATGATCATAGCTGATCATGAGTTATTCCCAAAAACTAAAGCATTCAGATAATGAAATGTTACATACAATCATGATACCAAAAGAAGGCTTTTTGACGTTAACATGGCAATGATGTTAAATTATGTAATGTATTTGAAAGACCTCATTTAGAATACTGTACACAGGGTTAGTCATTACATTTCAAAAAGGACATATCTACACTGGAGTCAGTCCGAAGAGGTTAGAGAAACTGAATTTCTTCAGTCTCGAATGAATTCAAGTGTGAGGGTTCTTGATTTAAGTATTCCAAATTCTCTAAGGTAATGACGAAGTCAAATCAATGGACGTCTTCACAGACAACTGTGAAACGTGACCCAGAAGACATCAGTGAATACCACCAAGGGGAAGTTAATGTAAGAAAGAAAAGCACTTGGCTGTACACAAAGGGTTGTGGGGAACTGGAACAAGCCATCCAACTACAAAACTTTTATTTCATTTCAAAACATAATACACTCAGCAAAATGTATGTTAATTCCCTGATTTCCCTCTAGAAATGCGTGGATAGGGTCCTCTGATCTATCACCTGCTAGCAACCAAGAAGTTACTTGGGCCAAACAGACAGCCTGTTCTGAAAGTCTTATGTTCTTGAAAGAGTCTGTTTCTACCTCTTGATCATTAACATTTTCTATATTATCCCATGTTTACAATAAAGTGCAGTGAAGACTTGAAATGTAAAAACACATGCTGTATGTACAGTATGTGTGAACTGATTGAATAGAAGTCAAAACAAAGTGCTGAAGAATGTACTGTAATGTGCAAGAGAGAATGCTGTGTCCAAAACTGACAGAAAAGGAATTTATGTTTTAAAAGATAGCAAGGTTATACATAATGAGAAACATTACAGTCCTGACTTCCATGACTATTTTTAAATTTTGTTTCTTTATTTAAAACTTGAGACTTTAATCACAATTGCATATGTACTGTATATACAGTATAAAAGTGTTTCAGTTACCTTAATACAAGGATGCAACAGCTGCATGTTTTGACTTTCTATGTATTTGGTTGCTGCTCTGTGATGCACAGAGGCCACACTGCTTCAAACAATTAACTATTTTAAAGGTAATGTCGATTCAGTCATAGATTCTTCTCCAAAGTTGCACTACCTGTGATGCGACCACTGTGCTCTTTCAGCTCATGGATCTTATTCCATTCTTTCCCCTTTTTCTGGTAAATGTGGACCTCATTATTGTTGGGACTGATGGCGATTTCTGCAAGGGAAAAAAATATTAAACATATTGCATTGCTTACATACAGTATAGTATTTACTGAACTAACGATTCTGGCTCTCACGTCGTGGCATTTTAGCCCATTAAAAGTGTGATATCAAGTTCACTAATCACCGCCCCACAAAAGAAAGATGAGACTTTTAAACACTTTTCCTCACCAACAGAAAAAAATCTATTCAGTTTCAGGCTATTTTTCCCTTATAAGTAAACCATCTAAACTTTTTCATGAGAAAACATACTCAAAGACCTCCTGAATGTCTGCTAAGGCAGAAAGACATAGACATGTAACAGAAACTATTTATGGCCCAAATAGAAAGATACAGACAAAAGTGTTGAGCAAAGACCTAAAATGGTGGTGCTGGATATTACGTGGATGTTACACACTATCAGGAATAGGCTCAGGTTCCCTTGCGACTCTGTATTGGATACAGCAGTTAGAAAATAGATTGGTAGATAGATATTACACAGGCTTGACAAAATCATTGTACAATGCATAGAGGATGGACCCCTAAGACTGGAGTAGGATGAAGCTGCTCGACCAGTTTTTTTTTACTTACGAGTTCGGTCTTTATTCCAGGCATGACATGACAACGGATCAAGTCCGAAGCTGTACAGAGACATGTTTCAACAAGGGAGGCTCTTGGAATGTGTTGTCCAGGATTTTGAGCACCCTGCAGCAAGAGCACAGAGAAGCACATCAATAAAGCAAGAAACCCTGCCTACTTTTGACAGCACCCTGCATAGCCTTAGAACTTCATGAGCATATTTTTGTATTCACTGAGTCTTTCACATCAGCATGGAAAATATAACTGTTTAAGACTATTGTGTGTAAAATTAAGCTCCTGTTGAGGGAAATTAAAAGTTTAAGAAATATAAAAAGACCTTTATAGTGGTCTATTTATAAATAACCTGAATAATAAGCTTGTATTCCATTGCATGCAAGTGTAATCTGCAGGATTCTTGGCTCTAGTGAAAGTGGTATAGCTGTTTTTACACAGTTCTTACTTTTCATGACAAAGCAAAAAAAGTTGGGTCAATTGGGTTATAAATCTTTACTTGAATATCATACATTGGGTCTTCATTCCAAATTTACATTCAACAGCTCTTTAGTGCAAAGCTGGGAGATTGTGAGGCACTGAGATCGAGTTGCCTTTAAGACAGAACGACACACCTGTTTTTTTTCCCCGTGTTTTTCCAATGATAAGATTGTGCCAGTTCTTCTCAAATTTTGCTTTTTCTTGCGCCCTGTTAAAAAGCAGGCTAACCACCATTTCGTATCTGTGAATTTAGATTTCAGAGCATTGAATGATATATCTATATATTTTTAAATTAGTCAAAGCTGTGTAGCTTAAATCTTCATGGTGCTTTCTTATCTCACTATTCTCAGATGTTTCTTTTATATTGATCCTTACTTCTTTAGAACTAAGACCCTAATGTATTGTGTGATAAGATCATTTAATTGACACAAGATCCACAGAAAACACTTAATTGGTCATATAACATTTCCTGTATTAGGAATTTGTCTTTTTGCATACCCCAACTTGCTCTGCATGAGACACACAGACAAGGAGAGAAGCTTGGGGTCAGAGCACAGGGTCAGCCACTTACACAGTGCCCCTGGAGCAGTTATGGTTAGGGGCCTTGCTCAGGGGCCCAACGGAATAGGATTCCCCTGCCAGCCGCGGGATACGAACCAGCAACCTTCCAGCCACAGGCGCAAATCCTTAGCCACAGAGCCACTGCACCAAACTGGGTATTAATATAAATACAGTACACTGTGCTGCCTTATTAGCCTGACAGTCCCATAAAGATGTCCACTGTTGGACCTGGTAGTTCGACACAGTCACACTTCACTAAGGGAACACAGTACACTGTAAGTAGGTGTTTTACATGCACCTAAGATAAAAAAGAGTATTGTTCGTGTGGATTTCAAAAAATTGCTCACCTCCCCAGAAGCAGACACAATTTGCAAAAGAACATGAAATGGTAGTGGCACTCACCCTGCAGGGACGGCGGCTGTATGGCAGTGGAGTGACTGAGTCAGTAATGCTGAGGACACTGGTTTGCCTAATTTCCCCACACCTGAGAATTTCTGTGGTTGGGCTGTATTTCTGGACTCCAGACAGTCAATAGGAATGGAGGTGTGTTCAGGGACGGGCCAGCACAGGCAGCCGTGAGGGAGGAGAGAGATGGGAAGAGAAGGAGGGGGTTGTGTTTTCAGCCCTCAGCAAACTCCTGGAATTTGCCAAGAGGTGGAGTGGTGTGTTTAAGTACAAGTAAAAGAGTATAATTCTGACAGGAATGCCAGTAGCAGCATGGTAAACGCTGAAGACTAAATCAACTCTCTGTTTATGAACTTCCTCAAAGTGTTTATTTATAGTCTCTGGTATGTGTTTCTGTGTTGCTCTGTAGTCCATTGGGATGACTTTAAAAGCATGTGAATATTTCAGCCTGGTCTCTTTGTAGTTTTCTCTGTTCAAAACTAAAAACAAAATTGTTTAAATAATTTATTTTTGCATTTTAGAGAAGAACACTCAGAACATTTTGGCCTGGGAACATGAATCACCCCCAAGGAAGGATTTTCAAATCTGTTTAAGAAAAATTGCTTCTTCCGAGTAGATTGAAATAGATTCCTCAGATGTAATTTAATAATTTGACACACAAATGTGGCTTGAAATGTTGTAAACATGCATTAAAACATTTTTAAAGAATAGGTATATATTTCATAATGCTGTTATCCAATGGTTTTGTCAGTAAGTAAAGGTGATGTCTAAATTTCAACACTACCTCAGTTAACCTTGATCTGTTATTATGGGATTGGGTAAATGGTTAAAAGAGTCTTCTTTAGAGTTGAATCACAGCATATGTATTTTAAATAAAATGAGAGAGATTAAAAATATATATTTCCAACGGAGAACCACGTTTTTCGTCTCCACAAGAAGGACAATAATAATATACATTAACCATTGCTGTGTTTTACCACTTCCGGTACAAATCCTGACGCCAGATTCTTGTTCTGACGTCATGAATTCGTTCAAACTTGCCCTTTAAGGTTGCTAAGGGTTACAGCTATCGTGTCAGAACGAGGCCAATTGACGTCAATGGTCGCTTGTGATTGGTCCTGCCACGTTTCCGGTGGGGCAGCCATCCAAGGACTGGGGAAAAGCGAAGCGAGGAGTTTTTTTCAGTGTCAGTGAGAAAATATAGGCCAACGAACGGAAACGTAAATTCTAACGGCTTGGGTAAGTCGTTGGCCGTCTGTTTTGTAAGGCTTCTTTGTCAGATACTGGAGTTATGTACGAGAGCGAATTGCGAGAAACCGCTAGTCGTGTCGTCTGCGCCTCCCGTTTGTTATGATAGCTTTTCAAGATGGCGTCACTAGGAAGAGGGCTCTGCGGCCCCAAAATATGTTTACGCGACTCTCAAAGTTCTCTTTACCCTCGCGAGCCTTCGCGTAAGAAACTTCTAAAAGGATTTGTATATTTATTGGATAGTTACGTGTCCTATTGAAGATGGCGTTTCTTCCGTTAATTTGATACCCCCTCGTTTGATGGCGAGAGCCTGCTGTCAGATGCTGTTTACAGACGCTCACCGCTATGTTGTCAGTTCGGTCAAAGACTCTCGACTGTGCCCCATTTTATTTCGGAAATCGCGACAAATTCGGAAGGCAAAAGACCGTTGAAATTACCTAACGTTTATACTGCCTTGGAGACCCTAATGTCTCCTGTTTTATATTTGATGTGGAGTGATCTCGATGTTCATGATTATCTTACATGCACAGAGCAGTGTGTCGGTTAACTTTTTCCTCGTTTGCTGTATAGATTTTTATAATTGCATCAGTACCCATTGAAATGTAGGAGTGTGTTTTTTCCACTCTTAACCAAAAAAATAAATAAAACAAGTACTTGACAAGTCGTTGATGTTTTAGCTTATCATGGGTTTACATTTTATGCTAATTATTCAAGTTTATAATCACTTTAAATGTTTTGTGACAGTCACATAAACGCTTACAGCTGACACCGGTTTTGTTGAAATTATAAGATAGAACCCAGTTTAATATGCAAAGTCGAGTTATACAAACATGTAAGCGACGTATAACTTTTGATATTCTGCATGTTGTGTGTTTCAGTTTTGTTGTATGGTGTTGAGATCATTTTGTCAAGCTTTGATATACAGTGCTGGGATTCGTGGCCTGTCTGATAGATCATTAAATTCTTTATTCGTTTGGAAAAGTTATATCGTGCAAATTAGTCAAATATTTTGTTTTTAAACAGATCCTGATTTGCAGCTAGAGGTCTGGCGGCCAGGTCCTGTGATATCGTGGTATAACACAGATCGGAGTTTTATTCAGTAGCAAGTCGGTGAGATAAGAAAACAAAATTGGAATATTTAAAACAACACAGCCCCCTTTACTAATAAGATGGAGCATGAGGTGCAGTTAGACAGTTCAAACTGTAATGACCTTTACTTGTTTAATAAAATTTGTTTCTAAATATAACGGAGAGAGGGCAGAGTATCTGTATTTAAATGGATTTTCAACAAGTTTTAATCTATTTTCAAGATTTCCATATTTTTTTCCTGTATTTGTCGGGTGTTTTAGCATTCCGGCTATTTTAGTTCTTTGTTTTTTTGTGCAGGAAAACTAAAATTGATTTTAAACTGTTTAATGAAATTAGCTTTTTTTAAGTTGTTTTAAAAATTAACTTTTTGATATTTAGTAAATCAATAGGGTTTGTTAATATAAGGAATCCTCTATAGTTTCCTAATTTACTACTGACTTATGTGGCTTCTATTTTTATCCAAAGCAATTTATGTTTGCACCTGTTTCTACAGCTGGGTATTTTGCTGGAACAGTATATATGAAATACCTTGCACAAAGGTACAACAGCGGTGTCTCACCTGTGTTGAAGTGTACATAATGATCTGGAACAAAATTATTTTTTTTCTTTACAAAAATAAACAGCAGCAAATGGCAAGATTGTGAATATTTGAAAATAGAAAATATTTAAAATTTAACTGTCATTTTTTGTCTAGATATATCTGTGAATATGATCAACTACCGCAAAGGCTTATGAGTAATTTATGTTTACATAAATTGAATTCTACTTTTGGTGGGAGTTTTCTGCCAAGTTTTACCCACTCTAAGCAAGAAACACAAGTTCAGAGGAAGCAGACCTTAGATTTACATGTGCTTACTATGTTGTATTTGAACATGTGACATTATATATATTATATATTATATATATATAACATGTATATATATTTATTCACTTGCATATATCGTTACTGATTGGCATGGACAATTATTTTGTGTAAGGCAGGAAACTGAGCAAAGATTTAACATTTTTGCAGCCCTGCTTCAGCATTTTTCTATACTTATTTCATCCTCTCTGTAGTGCTTTTAATCTTTTGTAACTTTTTAAGTTTCTTATATTTGATTTAAGAAAATTGGTTTAAGAACTTTTAATACATTATCTTAATTTTATTTTTGACTATGTACATAAATAGGCAAATCTTAAAGAGATTCGTATTGACCTGAATCCAAGCAGCAGTGCACTGTTAAGCAAGGTGGTGCTCTAATAATGATCTGTTGAGGAACAGAATGAATTAGTACACTCGCTTTATCTGTTTTGTTTTAGTAACATGTTCAAATAAGTAATTTCTTAATATCTGCTTAATGATTTGAAGTTATGGAAATATTTTCATTGGTTTTAAGAAAGCTGCTTTTGGGTTTAAGTATTAAGTATATTAAGACAAGCCAATAAAGACAAGCAGGTCTTCAACATTTCTAATCACATTTCAGCACAGTTCACTTTGTTGCAAACAAAGCTAAAATGTGAAAAAGAGGCCTTCTCTGGCATATGTTCAAGAGCTTACAGAGATCATGGGTCAGTAGTTGAGGCCACCATTAAATCTATCCTGGTATGGAGCAGTTAAAAAAGAGCTGTTTCCTTTTTTGGTTGATAGTAGCTCCGGATGTACTGCACTTTCATGCTGTTGGTTGACTTCTGTGGTTAATAGATAGAAGAGAGATGTTCAATGGAAAGAAACTTTGCATTTATTAACATGCTGATCTGAAAGCCACATTTTTGATAGTATTTTGTGTTTAGGTTCTCACCAAAGATCTTGCAGTCAGTATGTTTCAAACCTGAGCAAACTTTTACACTTCATATGTAAGGCTACATGAACAGTTTTGTCTTAAACACTTTCACTCTTTGTATGAGGGATTTAAGTGTCTTCACTTACACGTTTTGTGCGTTATCTTTGAATTTAAGTAAAGAAATAAGTAATAACTACATTTGATTTTGAAATAATTGTTCTTGCATTAAATTTAGAACTGAATTCCTTTCTCCCATTTTGTATTATTGTGTTCATGCAAAGAGAAGGATACAAGGATGCCAGGCTTGTTGTGGATTTCCCTTTAACTCTTTGGGTGTTTTATTTGTTGCTGGTCTGAACTGATCAGGAGGCAACCATGGCGTCTGGCAGTACGAGCAGCGATGAGGAGAGGAGCCTGCGGGAGTGTGAGCTCTATGTGCAGAAACACAACATCCAGCAGCTGCTCAAGGACTGCATTGTCCAGCTGTGCACTTCTCGGCCCGACCGGCCCATGGCCTTCCTCAGAGACTACTTCGAGAGACGTGAGAAGGTCAGCACTCTCGTTGTGCTCAAGCTGTGCATGAATGATTCCTATTGTCAGGCTAAATGAATAACCAAATGAGTAAAAAGATCATAAAGCAATCTTAGAAGTAATACGTGTAAGCTAAGCTAATGAGTTTCATTTTTTTTGTGCGGACCCTTTGTGTCACTGGCTAAAATTCTTTTAAGGGATTATCGGTAGGGGGAAAAACATGTTGAGCATGCCCTCTCTTTCAAATACATGAATTGAATTTGACTTTCAAACTCCTTAATTGTCAGTGAAGGTTTCCATTGTTGTGTACTATTATATGAAAAATGTCTGTATATTAATTTTATCAATTGGACAGGCAAACTGAATAATAGCTTTTCTTTATGTAGTTGGATAAATTAGTTGAACATAAGAGCACAACAAATTCAAGAATGTTCTAATTCCTCAGCTGAGCTAGTGGCTGTTTATCGCTTTTTAGGAGGAGGCGAAGCAGATTCTCAGCCAGCAGAAGTCAAGCTCTCGCTCAGATTCACGGGAGGATGAGATTTCTCCTCCGATGAACCCTGTCGTGAAGGGTCGCCGACGTCGCGGGGCTATCAGTGCCGAGGTCTACACCGAGGAGGACGCTGCCTCCTACGTCAGAAAGGTAACCATGATAAATGACGGTCAGTAAGGTGCAGACTTGCTTCCTCAGGTGTGCTGTATGTACAGTTAACCATCAGTGTTAGATTCATTTCAAATTACAGCTCTCACTTTAAAATTATCATTGTAAATAAGCTGTGTGGTAGGTTTTCAAAATAAGTGTTACTTTGGAACCCAAAAGGCAATAAAACAGCATTTTCCCTCTATAGCATCCGAGAAAGTAGACATGAGCAATATAATGTTTGTTACCTGACAAAAAGGAAATCTGCAATTGAAGACTGAAATTGTGTATTAATGTAGTTTTTAATTTGTACATTTAACATTTTCAGGTTATTCCAAAAGACTACAAAACAATGGCAGCCCTGGCTAAAGCCATTGAAAAGAATGTACTTTTTGCACATCTTGACGATAATGAGAGAAGGTAAGTGGATGCTGTGTTTTAATAAGAGTGCAAATACTGCCTGTAGTGATACTCATTGCAATAATTCATACTGCTTCACTTGATTTTAGTGACATCTTTGATGCCATGTTTCCAGTCACCTATATTGCAGGAGAGACTGTTATTCAGCAAGGTAAGTTGCTTTTTAAATGTGTGGACCCTGTAAAGTTCATTCTTTATAGTTTGGTTGAATCCCTTTCAAATTCAATGACCAAAAAAAGTATTGGATTATACATTTGCATAGCCTGCACAGTACCGTTTACCATTTATTTTTATTTCCTTTAGGCGATGAAGGTGATAACTTCTATGTCATTGACCAAGGTGAAATGGATGTAAGTTTTTTTTTGTTAGCCAGGCTTTTTAATAAAATGGTTTTCCATCATTTCACATGCTAACTTTTCAAGTTGAAGAAAAATGACACAGGGCTCATAGAAATCCACTGTTACTGCTGTGGTTTAAATACTTAATGAAATCCCATTTTAAATCTTGACTCAGACCTGTTCTGTTTAGATAAAGGTGTCTTTCCTGAGGTAACCGTAAATCTTATGAGCAGTTTTGCCATTTCTCTGTGTAGTTATTTGTGGATTGTAAACAGAAGTATTACTTTAAAGCAAAGTTGTCAATACAGAAGGAATTTAAAATGCTCAGAATAATAATAATAATAATAATAAACTTTATTTTATATAGCGCCTTTAAAGGTGGCTTCTCAAAGTGCTTTACAGGATGACAATAACAATAAATAAGAAGACTACAACAAAAAATAAGAAGATTTCACAAGATAGGACACAATTATAATTACAACAATAACAATAGAGGAGACCGTGGAAGGTGGTATTAAGAAGAGCAGAGGGGTGAAGAATGGAACCTGTTAAGTAAAGGCTTTTCTGAAGAAGAAGGTTTTGAGTCTGGATTTGAAGGAGTTTAGAGAAGGTGACTCTCTAATATCCTTGGGCAAAGAGTTCTAGAGCTCTGAGGCATATCAGGAGAAGGCCCTGTCGCCCATACAATGTAGACGGGCTTGGGGGACAGGAAGGAGGGCAGAATTTGAAGAGCAGAGGTTGCGAGGTGGGGAGTGGGGCGATAAAAGTTCAGACAGGTATTGAGGTGCCAAGCCATGTAAAGCCTTATAGGTGAGCATGAGGATTTTAAAGTCTACGGAATTTGACTGGAATTTGACCGGAAGCCAGTGCAAGGACTCCAGGATAGGAGTAATGTGAACACTTGCACTAGACCTGGTCAGCTGAATTTTAGACATACTGCAGCTTGTTCAGAGTAGATTTAGATACCCCGGGGAGTAGAGCATTGCAGTAGTCAATTCGAGAGAATACAAATATGTTGATCAGCTTTTCAGCCACAGTTAGTGATAGCATAGGGCGTAGTCTTGCGATTTCTAAGGTGAAAAAAAGAGGTTTGACAGTATGTTGTACATGTGGGTCGAATGTTAAGCCAGAATTGAATATAACCCCAAGGTTTTTCAATTTTGATTGAAGCTCAAGTACAGAGCCATTTACAGACAGGGTTACAGGACTGGCTTTACGAAGTTGATGGGGGGTACCAATAAGCATGACTTCAGTCTTGTCACAGTTAAGATGAAGGATGTTTTGAGTCATCCAATTTTTTTTATGTCAGAGATGCAATTATATAGAATAGAGACAGCCACATCAGTGTCGGGTTTGGTATGGATGTATATTTGAGTATCGTCAGTGTAAAAATGAAAGCTGAGGCCATGTGATCTTAAAAGCTGACCAAGTGGGAACACGTAAATTCTGAAGAGCAAGGGGCCCAGTATTGAGCCCTGGGGGACACCAGACATGACAAGACCAATTTCAGACCTGTACCCATTGAGAGAGACAAAGTGACAGCGATCAGTGAGGTAAGACTTAAACCATTTGAGGGCAGTGTCAGAGACTCCAAACACAGTCTCGAGACGAGAAAGTAAGATGTTATGGTCAACAGTGTCAAAGGCAGCACTGAGATCAAGAAGGATGAGTATGGAAAGAGAACCAGAATCATAAAAGGTTCTGTCTTGGATGTCTACTAATTCTTTGCTCTTACTGTAGGTGTATGTAAACAACGAATGGGTGACCAGCATTGGGGAGGGAGGCAGTTTTGGAGAGCTGGCCCTGATCTACGGCACTCCCAGGGCGGCCACTGTGAGAGCAAAGACAAATGTGAAGCTATGGGGCATTGACAGAGACAGCTACAGGAGGATATTGATGGTAAGGATTTAATGCAGTCGTTAAAAATTTGTGCTAGGTCTTTTATGACTTTCAGTTTTTTCAGTCAAGGAGTGTTTTTAAGCAGCCTAACTTTGAAGTTCTCCATTTTGTTTATGCTGGCAGGAAGATGAGAGAGCTTGTAATATCGATCAGATATACATTAAGAGCTTCTCATCATGAAACGGACGTGGCCTTGAATCAGTTTCTTTAGTTGCTCTGGCAAAGCAACAACCTTTGGGGTCTTTGTGATAAATGCTAATATAGCATTGATACAAAATGGAGGTGATTATTTCATCTAAAGCTCACTTAAGTAGAATTTTTATTTAAAGTTTAGGTTTATTCCGTAATGACCTAGCTGTTTTTTTAACAGCTGGATGTCTGGTTTTTACTTCTTAGTCAAATGTATTGGATAAATAGAAGATTTGTGTGAATCATCATCATGCCTTTGTTTTGTTATGGTACTTTTGTGTTAATAAGTTGCAGACATTGGAAAAGGTCAAAACTATATATAAATAATAAGAGCTTATCATACATTGACTTTATTGGAGTTGTGCAATTATATCAGGAATTGGACCATAAACCATAAAGTGAGGGTCTGTGTCTCTGACTGTTTGTGGAAGGATATTATCTAAATGAAATAAAGAGACAATTGAGAGATTTACCAGATGGGTTTAATGGTAGGTCAAAATGTGAAATTTCTAAATACTGTTTTTTTAACATTAGGACATCATTGTTTCCGTTAGGTTGAATAAAATGTTCATTTTGCAGGGAAGCACTTTGAGAAAGAGGAAAATGTATGAAGAATTCCTTAGTAAAGTGTCAATTTTAGGTAAGAATATACTCTTATAAATATTGCTTTGGCTTTGTGTGTTTAAACGTGTAACAGAAATGCAGTGAATCAGATGAAAGCTCAAGTCTTAAGTTTTCTTCCTGTTCATGTGAATAGCTGTTTTATGGCTGTCTCGGACATGTGATTTTTAATAGCAAAAAACTTTTATGCTAATAAAATATAAAAAAAATACATTTTGGTATTAATTTTTAAAAAATCATTTCTGATACAATCAATGCCAGCTGTCCAAGGGGGTGCTGATTGTATTACACTCTAGCATCAGTGCTATAGATAGTACTCTTATTTATAGCTCTTCTCCTTTTTTTCCACAGAGTCTTTGGATAAATGGGAGCGCTTGACAGTGGCAGACGCCTTGGAACCTGTACAGTTTGAGGATGGACAAAAGATTGTGGTTCAGGGAGAGCCTGGAGATGAATTTTTCATCATTCTGGAGGTATTGCGTTTTGAATTGAGCATTTGTTTTTCTCACTAGCGAATTATAAATGTTCTCTTACATGATATGTATAGTAGATTCTTTCACTTTTTTTTTACTTGTTTTCCCCTTCCATTTGAAGTTAGGCTAACAATCATCCTGTATGGTACTGTGTGTGAACAAATTGGTGATCTCTGACATATTGTAGTGCTGTGGGTATTACTGATTAATTGGCTCACTGGCATATGTGTAAATCACAGGGATTATTTTATGTTATGGTTGAGAATCCAGTTTTAAAATGTTCTTTCTTTTCATTTTGAATTGCTTTTACAGGGTACTGCAGCTGTGTTGCAGCGCAGGTCAGAAAATGAAGAGTTTGTGGAAGTCGGAAGGCTGGGCCCTTCAGATTATTTTGGTGAGAATTTCTTTGAGTATACTTCTTTTTGTTATTGGAATGCTTGAATTTTATAAATGGCAGAAAAATGAAAAGGATTTTCATCTTTTAATGGAAATGTATTTCACATTCCATTATACTCAATGTTGACATGTGCATATATACTTGGTATATACAATTTTTTAGTACTTAAAGGCTGTAAGTAATAAGATCCACAAACTCTAAATATTTAATAAATACTCTGTGAATAAATACCTTTGTATTAATCTATGAAGAAATACATGAGTGGTTTAAAATGTATTCCTTGAAAGTGCTTGTATCATCCACTTTTTCAAGGCTTAATTTTCTGTTTTGTTAATTACAGGAGAGATAGCTCTGTTAATGAATCGTCCTCGAGCTGCCACTGTGGTTGCCCGTGGGCCTTTGAAGTGTGTGAAGCTTGACCGACCTCGGTTTGAAAGAGTCCTGGGTCCGTGTTCAGATATTCTAAAGCGAAACATCCAACAGTACAACAGCTTTGTATCATTGTCTGTCTGAGGATAGCTTCTTCCCTTCATACAGGGTCCACCAATGCAATCTGCTTTATTTTTGTTTGTTTCACATTTTTCGACGCCCAGCTTTCCACCAGCATCACTGCTTTGTCTGTCTGTGTTTACACGTACCCAGTGCAACATAATACATTTATATGCATTGTGTCTTTTCCACATGACCGCATTTCTAGCATTCTTTAAAAAATGAACAAAACCTCAATGAATCTTTCCCACCATTTCTTTTCATCAATGTGCAGATGAGTGCAGTGTCAGATCTGTTTGACTTGGTTTGAACGAGTGATATTGCTGATAGAAGCTACATTAGAAGAAGCCGACATAGAGAGGGACAGGGCAGATATTTTAAAACTGTTAAGTGTTTCAAGGCTAAAAACTTTTTAAGAATCTTTTGAAGTAATGTTACTGTTTAGTATTTTGAAATTTGGCATCTGTAGCTAAAAGCAAGTGAACCACTGTCTTTTCATGTTTTATAATGGTTTGTTTTAAGGGTACTAGAAGTGACACCAGTACGACCTAGGTGACATACTCTGCCATTTTATTTTAATAGTTGTGTGCACACACATATATATATATATAATGGTTTAAATAACCATAATCAATATTTTTGCACAGTTCCAGTGGTATAAAAAATGCATACAGTGTTTTGCACCTGCTTATTTTCATTTCTGCAGTTAGTTAATATTGTACTAATGTTGTGTCATCTAAACGCATAAATGTATGCTTTTAAATATTCCCTCCTTCATGTCATACTTGGGTTCTTCTTGTAATTTGTTTCAACAAGTTACCCATTCTTTTTTCTATTCATAGATCCTGAAGAGAGAGGAAAGGGTGTCTAATTTTAATCTTTCCTGTATGTTGTTTTTTGGCTTGAGTCAGTAACATCTAACCGAACAGAATATTTTAGGTATAAAATGTATAGCTACCATGCTAGTGCCAAATATTAAATGATGGTTCTTAGCAATGATGCAAACCAGGATCTGATAGAAAGGGGCAGTATATATATTTTGCTCTCCTGTATTTATGGCAGAAGAACAGATGTTAGAAAAGTAGAGAAAATATTAAAGGAGTACAGTAAGTTGGCTGATGGCAATAGTTCCTTTACTGTAATAAACAATGAGCACCATACTGTAAGAATAGAGAACTGACACCTTATCGTGTTTCTGTGGCTTTGGCATTTGGTTGCTAAGGCAAATTGGCAGATTTATAATGAAATAATGTGACCGAGTATAGTGAGGAAAAGATCAAAGATTAAGAAAAGAGGCACCCCCCAGACTTATCATTGACAACAATGAAAAGGTTTTACACATAAGCTTAAGAGTAAAAGCTTAGAATGAAAGTTTTTATTAAATGTTTAAGATGATTAATTTAATCTTACTGTTATCAAAAAGAAGGAAAAACTCATCATTGAGTCTTAAATGTTATTTCAGTATTTACCGATTTTTGTGTTACTTTTCTCAGTATGTACCAAATGATGAGCAGTTTTTATCATATTCCACAGTCCTGTAATATGTGTAATCATGATATATACTTTTATTATTGCATATAGAATGATTTAGAGTAGGATTGTAGTTGGGAGTGACAGCAAGCTATAAGCAACTCAGTGAAAAGTTTAAAGTTTTTTTTAAAAAATGCTTATTTTTCCATAAATTATATTTTATGTGCCCAGTGCCATGACTTTACTAAACAATATTAGGTCTGTTATTAGCAAAGGAAAATCACATCATGTAGTTACATCTTTGTCAGTCATGGGTCAATTTTTATGCACATTTATTCATGATTTATTTTATTAAAACTTAACCTCCAAGTGTTTGAATATTTTTTCTTGCTAAATATCATAAGTGATGGAGAAGTAATAAAAACTGTGAAATTAGCATTTAAGTAAAACAAAACTTCGTATTCCACCAGATCATGTTCTATGTAGACAGTATGTTGTGTGCAGAATAGGATGATTATTCTACTGTCAGAACTGAAGAAAACTTTTACCAGTAAAGCGCATTTATAAGAAAAGGTCAGTTTTTTTATTATTTTTAATGTTTATTTTCTGACACCAAAATTTGAACTAAACTGTGTTAAAATAAATGAGAATTATCCATAATAAATATAACATCGGTTGAGAAATGTTGAAATACATTTCAGTTGTTCTTCTGTATGTGATCTAGACCCTTGTGGAGATTGGGGTCTACTGGGAAAAGTGTTTATTATGGCAAAGAAAGATGTCAATTAGTCCAGAAGTCATCAGATGGAACAATCTAGAGTTCTGTTGCATAAATACTTTTGTAAATGTGAAAGTGATATAATTGAGATAACAGCTGGATACAGTTTAATGAAAAGCTCTTCTGAGTATTCAAAGAGGGTAATACTTGAAGTACCTTTACAAATGATGGGAGAAATATTTCTAAGTCTCTGTTACACAGTTTCAAGAATTAAAATACTTTTGTCCAAAGTAGTTTTTATCAGAAATCCAAATTCTTATCAAGTTTTCCTGGGATACTTGTGGTCCTGATAACTTGGTTATTATATTGGTTTTACGCAGTTATATTTACCTCCTTTTATATGAACAGATGTGCAGTAAAATAAACTGTAGAATACAATAAACATGACAAATTGAAAGATGATTATCATGAATATTTAAGCATTTTTTTCCCCACAGTGGAATATTTTCATTTTCTTTTGTTTTGTCCTTTTTGTCGGCTTGCTAGTCTTTATTTAAACAATTTTATGATGAAGCAGCCGTTGCATTTTTTAGTTAATTATTAATCGCAGTTATAGCTTTACCAGTCTGTGCAATCCAAGTATGTAAGTACAAAAACAAAAATTGACATAGTTTGCCTTAGCTAATGTAATCAGGGCTTAGAAAATCCTGCTAGCCCATCCTTCAACAAGTTTGTGAAGCCTGCAGTCCTGAGAGCTGCTGGTAATCAGAGGACCATTTTTTCTATTGTTATCCAATGACTGTATAAGGTTTGATTAACTGTATGTGCTCAAATTATAATCCTTTTGGTATAGATTGTCCTAATGGCAGGTCAAGCAATAAAAAAAGATTTAAATTCTTAAGTCTAGACCGTGTTTATTTGTTCATTTATGCATTATTCGTCTTTATGGTGTTTTTATGGTTAGTGTGTAACCTGTACCATGATTCTCACACTAAAACAAGTTAGTATTTTTATTGTTGTCTGGGATGTTACGTGACTGCGTGTCTTCTTGTTAAAATATTTTCATATTTCCCATCTGTATATGTCTCCTTCATTAAATTTCATGTTAAGGCCTGGATTTTTATTCTGCATACTTCATAGAACTAGATTTTAAGTGAACTTTGCATATTTGAAGTTGTAGTGGTATGTGAAAAACTAAGGTTGCTGCTGGAAGAGGTGTTAGTGGGGCCAGCAGAGGGCGCTCACCCTGCGGTCTGTGTGGGTCCTAATTCCCCAGTATAGTGACAGGGACACTGTACTGTAAAACAGGTGCCGTCCTTCAGATGAGACGTAAAACCAAGGTCCTGACTCTCTGTGGTCATTAAAAATCCCAGGGCATTTCTCGAAAAGAGTAGGGGTGTAACCCAGGCGTCCTGGCCAAATTTCCCATTGGCCCTTACCAATCATGGCCTCCTCATAATCCCCCTCTATGAATTGGCTTCATCACTCTGCTCTCCTCCCCACTGATCGCTAATGTGTGGTGAACGTTCTGGCGCACTATAGCTGCCGTCGCATCATCCAGGTGGGGCTGCACACTGGTGGTGGTGGAGGGGAAACCCCATTACCTGTAAAGCGCTTTGAGTGGAGTGTCCAGAAAAGCGCTATATAAGTGTCAACAATTATTATTATTATTATTATTATTTTATTATTATTATTATGTGTGCACTCAGGCACACCACTAGATGGCAGCAGAATATAAGCGTTGTATGCTTAATGTGTACCTCTGGTTTTAACAATGAGAAAAATATTCTCTAGCTCTGTATATTTGATTTTTTTTTATCTATATGAAATGGTTTTGTACCTTTTCTCATTTTTCAAAAAAGGATAAAGCAGTAACATGCTTTTGTTTCTGCATACATGCTTATGAATAAAATGTAGTGGATGAATCAGCAATTTAACTTCCAGGACAGCCATTTTACTATGATGTTTTTAGTTTAACGTCCACCTTACTTTTTAACTAGTGCGAACGGTAATAACGGTAGTGATATCCTTAGATCTTTTAAAGCATTTGACCTCCTTTGTTAGTATTTTTCAGGAAAGCCACTTTTAATATAGCCTCTCACAACCACAATAGAAGCAAATAAACAATTAAATTCAAAAAGGCTTTGGTCAAAGACAAAGGTATCAAAAGTGCTTCCTACAAAATGAAGACAATATTAAGCCTTACTGTATTTAGGTGTGATTAATGAGGTCTAACTACATTAGCAGTGTTTTTATTCCGAAAAACGCTAACAAGTATGAATATTATTATTTGATCATTTTTTGGTGAAAAAAGTAAAAATAGCCGAGACATTTCTGAGATCCAGAACGGACTACAAGAGAAGACGTTTTTTAAAATATTTTTTGCTACACAAACGGGTTACGTTCGTAAAAAGTGGTGACATCACATAAGATTTTATACGTCAAACTTACATTACAATATTCAGCTGTCGTATAATTCAATTTGGACTCAGTGTTCTGTTCTGATAGTTTTCATAAATGGTGTTAATGTATTATTTCTGTTCTGTCAGAATTAATTAAGACTTTCTGCCCAGTATTAAAGCATTGCTAATTTTCTTGTACATATTAATAATGTTTCTTGTTTGAAGCTTGCTTTATTAGTATCAGTAACATGTTCATTACTTCCACAGCCCACCCATTCGCAGTTTTAAATGCACATCTTCTGGTTCGTGTTTGCTTTTTATTTTGAAGAAGTCCATTGGGCTGAGTTTGCTAGTGTCTTTTCAGTCTTCTACATTCAAGCATAAAAAACATTCAGTTATTTTAATCTCTCAGTCTAGGGTGTTACTTTTAAGATCAGGAATGTGTCTGGTTCATATTTGAACTGATTTTAGAACAGTAACATCTTTTTCATGACATGACCAAAATTGTATGCAGTATTTAATTTAAACAGTAGCAGCACAGCTTGTATAAAGTAGGCTCTTACTTGTTGAAGACAAAGTTGCAGTAACTGTTGTAGTGGCAGCCCGTGTCTGAATTGTTTCTTTCATTTTTCCTTATGTTCATAACTTTAAATATCAGGAATTAAAAAATGGCAAGGAAAAGAGTAGAGCTCAGCTTTTGTTCAGAGCTTGCATTGTAAGAAAAAAGCAACCACCAAAGCAGAAAAAAAAAAAAACATTGAGAGACTTTTAGGACCTTGGTTAACAAACAGTGCTTGTGACCAGTAAACAGCAGTGCTTGAACCACAGTTTTTCTGCGTTGGAATTAAATGTTTTGCAACGAGGTGTTTTTGATACCACACTAAACCCCAGGGCTCTTTTTTGATGAGTCAGCTAGGAATTAGCGGCTTCAGTCTGTCTGGAACCCATAAAACATTAGACTGCAAGATGTTTAATAGGTATCACTTTCCCAGGGAGACGAGACTCTTAACTAATGCTTTTATACATTTTTACCTTTTCTTGCTTCTTGTGGAGAAGAGCCTGTAATAATTTTTAAAAAGTCAAACTACTGCGTTTTATGGTTCAGTAACATTGAAAACCATGGCAACATGGCAGAAAATGTAGTTTAACAGTATGGAAACAAATGTAGCCAGCTGCACTTAACTGAGATGTTTCATCATGGAGCATTTTGTGGAAATCTATTTTTTGGTTTTAAGACTTAAAAGTATTTGCTGTCACCTCAGGTTAATGTCTTCTGAAAACTCTGATATTCTACTCAACTGTTTTTCCTGTTTACTACATCTTGCCCAAAGCTCAGTTGCTTTGTTTGGGCAATGCAAGAACCACAGTTTTTTGGGTGTGGTTTTTCTGTAATAGTATGACGTGCTGTAACAATTCTGTTTCTCCAGCTTATTAAGAATTACTGTGCCCATAGTACTTCTGTAAACTGCAGTGATGAGAGAATAAAGTGGCTGTTTTTTGTTTGTTCTATTGCTTTAGTAGTACTTTAGTTTTTGAAATTGTATGTTTTGTGTTGACCATTGCGTAACAGAGAAGAATTGAAGTATGGCTTATTTCTTTGGACCCCTTGGGCTGGCATGTGAAAACCTTTCTCATTAGAGGTGAAGGAATTCAGAAAGCATATTAAATGGGCACAGACTGAACTTAAATTGACATTTTTATTTTATCACTTCCTGTTCCCACTTCCCACATAACAGCCTGCTCCCAGAACAGTAAGAAACTGTTGACTGTGCTTTTAAAATTAAATTAAATCTTTCTGGGGTTCCGGGCTGCAGAGCAATTGAAAAATCTGAAATCCAACACATTTGATAAGGGTTCGAGGTAATAAAAATTAGGAAAAAATGGAGACGTCTTAAGTTATCCAGTGCTTGTTCTTGGTGCTTACTAACAAAGGGGATAGTCCTGTTTCCCACGATCCTCCGCTTCTTCCTCTTGGTCAGTGCTATCTGCTGATGGGGTTCACTGTCCTCTTCGATTCAATGAAGTCCTCAGCCACCACTTGTGCCTCGCCCAGCCTTTTCACACACTTCTGCACCGTCCTGAGAACATACTGCAGACGGCGGTCCAGCGCGATGAGGTGAGGCTCGGTCAAGATGGGGTGGAGGCCATCCCGTAGCAGTGACTCCCGCATGACGTCACTCAGCCTGTACTGCGGCTGCGACAGTAGCTTCAGGCGGAGAAGAGTGGACCGCTTGATTCTGGCACACAAAGGGCGGGAGAGGAGGTCACACCAGGAAGGCTCTGAGGTTGGTTCACGTGCTAAGAGCATAGTATTAGTAATCTCTTAAAGAATATGCTTCTGTTTGAACACCTGCACTTGAGTGCCTTACGTGACAATTGTAAGAGGTGAAAGTCGTGTCCATTAAGAGTCACACAAAGGGATTATTTAAAAAACAAA